ATACTTGTTTAAAAAATCGTGACACGGATTCTACTGCGGACTTTGCGTCCACATGAGCCTAAAACGCTCATACAACAAGGCATTACCTCAACGTTCAGCTCAACCACTTCCAGTGTCCAAATGTTATCATACGTAAGCAAAAAAATCATTCGACTAGAGACGAAAACCAAGGAGAAGGCGATTTCTGGAAGTGGCGTGCGTGTCGCGCGCGGTCGCGCCATCGTCACGATTTTTCAAATGCCTCATACACTTGGGTGGACCTTACTAATTTGTGCAGCTGCACAATTTCCAGGACCGTGGGGATAGCTCGCATTATAAGCATGGAAACCTACTTGACTGTAGATTTGCCCGATGAATCACAAACATCGACAACTGCTTGATAAACTTCTCTATGCTCACTGCTTTGTTAATACACTTTTTGCATGCTTCTAAAGCTTAGTGGGGATAAAACCAAAGGGATTCGTCAATTTTCCATGCTCTAGCTGTTCTTCTTCCGCAGACTAGCCGTAAATACTGTTTTGCTTTACTGCAATTGGTAAATCGTTTACTCATATTTTCTTGAAAAGTTGGCATAATTGCGATGAGGTGCCAAATATCTGTGTACGTTTCTTTCCTATTCTACCGTATGGCTTAACTTTACGCGCTCACTAGTGTACATAAATGGGGGGGGGGGGGGGGGAACGGCATTTTTGAAGCCCTCGTATTAGCAGCGCGCCTGTGATTGGTCGCCACGTTGGCTAGCAAAACGAACCAAGGAACGAATGTTTTTGGCATTTTCCATGTTTCACGCAGGAATTGTAAAAAAGGTAGGTACAGTCGCACTTCTACAATCACATTGCCTTTCACATCCGCTATGCTTCCAACTGCAGGGAGTCTCAAAATGTGCGTACTGTTTGATTTCAAATAACTCTCTTGTCGTGAAGTTTTGAGAGGTTTCAGGTAACATTTTGTAGAGCTAGCTTCAACCTAGATTTGCAGTATGGAGCGAATTAGCCATTCTCTTCACTGCTGTAGGATTACGGTAGGTTTCGAGGAGGGTTTTGCGTCATTGAGGGTCATATTTTACTTTTGAAAATGGAATAAAGAAGCTGAAATTTAATAAACAAGGTTGACCGGAGTCGCTGATTTTGAATATGAAATTGCACTTTACCGTAATGCTTTTCTCATGAGTTGTGCCAAATTACCGCAACCCATTTTCTAATAACCGTCAGAATACGTCATTCAAAAAGCTCTGCGAACGCTCAAAAAGTATCTGGTGAAATCGCATGCATAAAAACCTTGTTGCACAAACTTCCAGATTTTTTTTTCAATTTTTCGAACGGTCTGTCTCACAGTGACGCCATAAGCTGCGAGTTCTTACCCTAATCCTACAGTAATGATAAGAGACTGGTAGTTTGCATCGTATTGTAAATTAGTTGAAGCCAGCTTTACAGAATGGTACCTAAACCTTCTCGAAAGATTTTATGACGAGTTAAGAAATAGTCAAACAGTAGGCACATTTGGGACACGCTGTATATCTCAGAACACCTTCAGAATTGGTGATGAGCTTCCATACAAGACCAGTATGACGGCAAAACGCTTCGCAAAATTCGTTCAAAGTTTTTGATGAAGAATACTTTTCTCTTATTCAATGTCAAAGCACGGCAAAATGTCTGTAGATAGATGAAAGCGAACGGCCGTACTGCGCCTACGTTCAGTTTGATTTTTTTTAAATTTTCACCTGTGCATCAAGGGAACGACTCTTGGTGTCCGTGGCGGCCTTCTGAAATGAGATGTATACCATTAACTCGTCTAGAAATGCTGTCTCCGAATCTGACTTCCGTTTCTGCTAATCGTTTCTCCAAAAGAAAGTTAGATTTCGATGTTCGCCCTAGAAATATGCTCGAGGATGGCTAACTTTCAAAAAGAAGCTTAATTGAAGTAATGCAAAACTAAAATACACAAAATGATTAGAACCTAAACCTGCATTAACTTGTGAGGCTATCCCACCAGTCACAACACCACATCCTACGGGCGGTTCCCGCATTCCGACCATATTTCCCTTGGTGCGAAAACCTTCATAACTTTTTTCAGAAAAACGATTAGCAAACGATAGTCAGATTCGGAATCAGCGCTCCAAGTAGAGTTTAATGGTATACATCTCATTTTAAAAGGCCACGGACACCAAGTATGGTTCTTTGTAAGTGCACTGTTGTTCATTTTTGTTGTAGTTTTTACATTATCTCTCATACAAGCCCCAATGTGGCCTTTTTTCAACCATTTAATATCTCGTCGTTGTAGCACACACATTTTCCGAAATAGCTTAGCTAATCTTGGGTGATTAGCTAGAACGCAATGTATAATTTCGCGCAGTAGAAACTCAGCAGGGCTGCAGAAACGCAAATAATATCAAGCTGCTGCCAAAACTACCCAATAAAATTGTAATACTTGGACTTCCGCGAATGCTCACCGGTTAGGTTCCGTAATCTCTTTCATAGGTTTAGCACTTTCGTGCTCAAACAAAGACCCATGAGAGTACCATAACAATTTATTAGAATGCACAAAATGCCCCTCCCCCTAATTGTTCGTAAAGCTCAACAGTGCTTCTCCCGTTAGGCCTAAGGCATACCCCACGCGATTCGGCCGAATCGCCACTTTCACGCGACTCGGCGATTTGCCAGATGTCTATAAATATATCATGCGCACTTCTCGGACGCATATTTGGGTAGCTTGTGTAAGTTGTTGCAAACAGAGCAAATTCTGACCAAAGGCAGCGCATTAACGAGGAATTACGAAGAATCGCTGTTGTGCCAAATCGCGCAGCGACCGGAATCGCGCGAGGTATGCCCTAGGTCTTATGAACGATTCTAAGTTTAGAGTTTCCAACTGTAAGGTGTATCCTAAACCCAGTGGCCGTCTCAGATTCTGGTGACAACAATGCTTAGAGCATTGACGAAACAAGAGCAAGTGCATGTCCTTCCCGTCCTGGCCATATCCACCTTGCATGTGCATATGACTAACCCTATTTGCTCTTATACTCTCCAGTTCGCAGTATAAGTGAATGTTTACATAAAATCGTAGCAGAACTGAGGAACGGAGGGCAAGCATTAGGCTACAAAACGTGCAAAAATGTGTAGATTTCCTGATGGCGTCGAGTAACGTATCGGCCCCGACCCCCACCCCCCTGTTTTTGGCAGAGGAGACGTTTTGCACGGGGAGTTATTTGGGGTTTAAAAAATCGGGTTTGTCGCCTAACGCCCCAAGCTAGTTGTCGTTGTGCGGGTTCAAATTTGCCGCGCCACCCTGAGCGAACATACTGTAATGATAGAGCGTGGGTCGGCCCTGCAGCGAACATTTGGAGGCTCGAATCGTCGCATTCGAATTTTCGTAAATAAATTGTTGTTTTTCTGACCTTGATGCTGCCAGCTTTTATATTGCTTTGCTTGATGTTTCATAGTTGCTTACTTTGCAGGCGTCGAATTGATTTTGAAACGCTTATGCTGTTTCTGCTTGCAAAGTTCCTTCTCTTGAGGCATTTCCGTGACCTAATTTGATGATTTACTGCGTACCATTTTTCTTGATTCATGGTAATGATGTCATCTCACTTTTTGTTTCACTAGGTCATTCTTATGTAATACTTTGTTGCTGTCGAATTGATTTTCAATTTGCTTACGATCGTTCTGTTTGCAAATCTTTAGTACGTGAGGAATATCTTATGTGGCCTAATTATATGGTAATCTCTCACACCATGATACACAGCAACTTGTTCTACTTTAAATGATATATTTTTGTCCATGGTAGCGATGTAAGAGGAAATTGAAAGAGGCTGCTCGCCAAGCACGCATGGTTTCGCCCATTCGCTTTGGTGTTTTCCTTCTTAGATTCGCTTGTAAGTGATAAGTTTGAGCAGCATGGCTCTGGAAGAGCGAAAGTTTGTCCGTTTTTTTTTACAAATGCGCATATACCTCGAAAAGGTGCCATATTTGACTCAAAGTGTTCCCTAAAACTCATAACATAAGACCACTGGTGATGCATATGGTTTTATCTCGACATTGTGTTATTTGATGGTTTTTTTTTTCATAATCACGTTCCTTTGGCGCATCAATGGATGCACTCAATAAATAAATCTGATTACCATTGTTTCTTGATTCATGAGTCATTATGCAATACACTTCTATCTCGCCATTCTTATTTATGGTATCTACTGTTTACTTACAATTAGTTATGACATTGTTTTACAGCTGCAGTCTATCCTAACAGTCTTTGAACTCATGTAGAACTTACAAGGGAAAGATGGTCAGTCGAAGTGGCCTTTTGCGATGATTTGTATACGAGGTTGGAGGGCATAAAATGCTGATTCCAAATCGGTCCTCCTTATCTGCGGCGCATTCCTGGACGAGCAGTTATGAGCATTTGAAGGAGCAAAAAATGAATGTTTTTCTGGGATAAAACAGTTGCAAAAATTTTCTCAGCGGCTGAATGAGACAGCCGGAGTGCGGATATATCTCATCTAAGAGTAATTATTTTATAGAGTGCTAGAAAGATTACCACTGGTCCATTTGAGCGCTAAGAAAAATGTTACTGCAATTTCTATATTATTTGCACATTCAATTTTTTTCTCCAATAAACGCTCATAACCTTTCGTGCAGAAATGCTCCGCAGATAACGAAGACAGATTTGGAACCAGTGTTTTATGCCCTTCAATACTGTATAGAATACATCTCAAAAGGCCACTTCGACCAACCATCCTTCCCTTGTTAGAGGGGCCTGCTGTCATCAACTTATATCATGTATGATGTGGTCTGCATTACGAATTCTCGGCTGTATCGCTAGACTTCACGTCCATCACAAAATTTTGATCATAGGAGTCGCCACTTTTTGGTTGAAAGCTTAATTTAGCTGCTTCTTACTTAACCTTTTGATTTTAACATTCATCTATTGCGTTATGTAACAAAAATAAACAGAGTCAACGTTGTCTGCTTTCTCTTCTTGCACCTTATGGTTTTCTAGCACTGCATTTCTTTTGACCTTCCGATACCTTCAAACCGGGTTTAGACACCAAAGTTCACGCCGCTCAGCGATCATGATGCGTTTGCTCTCACGCTTGTTTACTCTACATGTTTCTCGCAGGCTTTCTGTTTGTTACTCGCGCACTCTTATCCCATCTGTTGTTCTTCATTAAGCTTTTTGCAGGCGGCTTTGAATCATGTCTCAAGCGTCGGAATCGCCGCTTGAGACGATGTATCGTCGTCGTCCATCGTTAAGAAGACCACCAGTTCGTAATGTGAATTCACCTCGACTAACCGAGGATGAGGCTGATCAGCTGACTAGCCCTTTTTTGTGAGTCTTTATTCTCCTCTATGCTTCTTTTCCCCCCACTATACTATTTTTGATTTCCCTTGTATTTCAGGAATTATAGCACAGGATATACTTACGCGTTCAGGTAAGTGGTAATTAGCATCAATCTGCTTTCATAGGATATAAACCTTTTTGCAGCCAGTCCTATGACCCCGATAAACCCCCGGCCTGGGAGGTTCCTAACATCAACAACAATTTTCTTCATACACCTCATGTATCCAATAATCACGAATATGTAGAACATGTGGCTGCTCCAAGTATCATGCGCAAGGTGGGCCAGTGCTTACCGAATTTTTCTTATTAGAGCTTATGTTTCACTGCGATGTGATTATCTATGTTCAGCTTGGTCAGACTGTATCAGATGCTTTCTATGCGGTGTTGAACACTATACTTTGGGCATTCTACAGTGTAACAGTACGACCACTGAAAGCTCTGGGATTGTTGTTTTACGATATTGTTGAGGGAGCATTCTACCTAAGTTAGTTTGACTATTCGCTTTTTTTTCTTGTTACACTATCGTCTAAGTACATCTTAAAATTGAAAATTATTTGACTTCAGCACGTTCACTCAGCGACTCTATATCCGACTGTGTGTACGAGTATGCCGGTGGATACCATCACCCCTATCGTCGTCGATCACTTTACGAAATTCTCGTAATAGCTATGTTCAAGCTGGTCTCTGGCACATTCAACATACTACGTATGCCAGGTTAGTTCTTCTAATCCTATGTGGTTGTAATCCTTTCAACTTCCTTGCACTTCAGTTGATTTCATCGCTGGACTCTACCGCGAAGCAAGTCTCCTCCTCACTCGAAAGTATTACGAGCTGTTGGCTGAGAAGGGAAGGAAAGTGCACACGGAGGCTGTGATCAAAAAGTTCAGAGCGATGAACAAGGAAACTGCTGAACTAACTCGGTGGAGGTTGATGAGAAAAGCAGAGGTAAGCTCGTTCGATTTTACCAGATCTGGAACGACACATAAAATCGTTTTTTTTTAGCAGGAATCAGCAGCTAAATACGAATGGGGTGGCGGCGATCATAATTACGACGCGAATGACCCTTAGTATGTTTTGCAGATGATGTTTTTACTGTTTATCATCATATAGTTGGGTTCACTTTGTTACCAATAGAAATAGTTAATAATCAGTTCTCTGTTGCGGTTTAAGCGAATTGGAATTATCTATCAATATGTACTCGTTTTAGTGATCCGGACAGGAGATTCTATAATCTTCGTTCTCGAAACGTAGCTGCATTTGACACTGACTCTGAAGATGATGATACGCCTAGGTAAATAGTCCCTTATATGGGTGCATATTTCTGATACGCTTTTATAGGCGACGCAAGACTGTACGCTTTGATACAGTACCAAGTGTAACGACTTACGGTGGTTCTGATTTCCGCAAAGCTTCCATGGTTCGTTATTCTTTTCGGCACTAGTTCCTGACTCAAAGCATTTCCATTGTAGGCTACCCGTATTGCCACTTGGCTTGGATCTATGGCCTCCTCTGCCGTGTATTATATGCTGTCCGCTGCTGATTTTGCTCTGAAATGCATTAAGGCTCCATATCGTATACTGACCGGAGAGTAAGTAGTTTGATTGATCTTGAAGATGTTAGAATAATTGACTCCTACTTTTTGCAGAGTTGATCAAGACTATGTTACCCCGTCGAACTCAGCAGAAGAGGTGTACCTGCATGGTCGTCACTCACATGTTCGCAGGTATGTGACATTTCACTGTACTTCGTACCAATTTGCATGATCTATCCTCTACTCACTTTGATATATCTCGCATCAAGATTCATCCCATCCTTGGTTAAGAATGACTGCCGGCGCAGATGCTGATTATGAGGATGAAGACCATGATTTATATATGGAACCGGAACCATCACCTCTTCTTTCCCGATTCATGTCTTTCTGCTCCACCGTGCTGTACGCTCCGTGTCGTGCTTTCCTTTTCATCACATTTGCTGTTGTGGATTTAATACGGTGGTTGCTGTCAAGGTATGCATTAGTGCTTCGAAAAACTTTTCTTCACACACCATCACCATGAACTGTTCTTGCCTTACGAATGCAGGCTTTCTTGCACCATTTTTTTTTCGTTTCTGCACACGTTGCCACATTTTTCTCCCTGAAAGTTTACTTATCTCCTTGATGCGGAAATCATCACCGTTAATAGTCCCAAGCATTTTGGAGTTTGTCATAACGAATCTAATCAACCGGTACCCGATTGCCAATCATAAATTGAACTTTATTAGGGTTTTTTCAAGTTTTTTTTTTCACACATCGAACTGAATTATTGCTAACGTGCTATGTGAAACTGTTCAGAGTGACGAGTGCGCCTAGATGGCTTTGGGAAAATGCGAACTACCTGGTCGATGAAATGTTTAGCAGGTTTGGCATCTGTTTTTAATTTTTAGCTTGTGTTTTTATTAAAAATATCGCGGGGGTTTGCATAACTTTAAAAAAACTGAATTCGGCCTCACTCTGCAGGCGACGGCGTTGGCTGTGGTGGTTGCTGCCTCTCTTTCTCCTGCTTCTTCTGGCGCTTACCCCACGCAACAGAGATGATCCGCTTACTCTGTTTGGTCACAAAGGTGAGCTAAGTTGTTTTTGAGTTACCGTTTTGCATCAAGCAATGATCTTGAATTTCAGTCTCTGATGTTCCCGATCGTATAAAGAACTACGCTTCCAGTATGATGGACTCGGAAGGAGTGAGTACAGAATCGCAGTCTTTTTTCTGCTACAAATTTCCAGCGTTCTAGCATTATGCGAAGTCTCTCAACTCTATTTATGATGAGTACTGGAAAAACGGGAGATTTGGCAAGTATGATATACTTACAAGGCTTTCAAGTGCAGTATCGAATGGGTGGCTTTTTGCTTTCAAGCTAGTTAGAGGTGCCTATGATCTCCTGAATGCAATCGGTAGGACTTCTGCAACTTCCGCATCTTTACAGCTATTTAATTTGTGATTTTATTTTAGTAAGTGATTCAATTTCTTTTGTGGTGGACCTCGTATCAAAGTTACCTCGTCTGCTTTATCCGAAAAAGACTTTGGTATGTCAAAATTAGTATTATCAGAAAGTACAGCATAAAAAGACTATTGAAGGAACCTTCATTTAACATGCCACATGAAGAAGACGCAGAATCGTCGACACTTGTTGGGCCATCACCACTAACGAAGTACTTGACTGGTGCCAATGTGAGTTTTTTGTTTGATTTTATGCTGGTATGTTTTTGTGATTTTCAGATGTCTTTTTGGAAGTCATCTGCTTATGGATTAGCTGCTAACGCTCAGAAATGTCTGTATGACTTTCTAAGTAATGTCAAAGACGTCGGAGCATTTCTTACCTCAGGAGTGCAGCAGACTGTTAGGCTGCTTTTCAATATAATCTTATTCCCTTTCACCCGAATTCTGCCTGAAGTGAGTACTGTTGTATTTTTTTCTGAGTTGTAACTTCAGAGCAATAAGACATGAATTTGGACTTGTTGCAGTTATCTTCTTCGTTGAAATCGTCAGCTCTCGCTGTGGCTAGTACTACTGAGAAATATCTACAAAACACTTTGATGGCATTTGTGAACATGGGAGGATCTTTGGTTCAATACTTATTCAATATTCTACGATGGTTCGGGCATGGCCTCTCCAGTCTATTTTTATTGTTTTCTTCGCGTCTTGACCGACATCATATCACAACAGTCGACGTAAGTTCTTGCTTTGGTGGCACATCTAACGCACAGCATCCTTGTCATAGGAGAAACCTGTGGAGCAGACCGTTGATACTATTCCCCAGTCACAAAACGTTGGAGGTGCTACTGATGAGCCAAAAGTTGTTTACGTGCCTTCTCCAACATCTTCGATCGACGAGAAGAAAATGATCGACAGGATCACGGCCATTGTAATTAAAATTGCTAATCAAGCTAGTTGGTTTCAATCATTCTATTCTGGTTCAGGTACACGCTAAGATGGACCAAGATTTGAGGGCGAAACTGGAAACAGAACTGAAGTCGCTAAAAGAGTCTTACGAGGAAAAGATCTTATCGCTAAAGCAAGAGGTTGGTCTAACGAACATGATCATTTTTTGTCCACCATTTTGATGACGTTTTAGCCCAATAATGTTTTAGAAGTCTCGTGCGGAAATTGATTATACTCAACTGGAGTCACTCATTCATGCAGCAATATCCGAATACGACAGCGATAAAACGGGAATGTTTGACTTCGCTCTGGAAAGCGCTGGTCCGTAATTTATTTTGAACTCAACAACGCTTATTTTTATCATGGCTTTAATAGTGGGTGATATTCTCATCTTTCTTTAGGTGCTTCTATCATATCAACTCGGTGCTCGGAAAATTACAACACATATTCTCGTCTTGAAAAGATCTGGAACATTCCTCTTTGGTACTCTAGCTATGGGCCAAGAACTGTGATCCAGGTAAGAGTACTATACGCATTATGATTAGAATTTTGAAGACATTCTTAGGCTCTTTGTACTCTATATTTTCGTTTTAGCGTAATTCCAAAACGCTGTTCCCTGGGGAATGCTGGTCATTCAAAGGACCTGTTGGCTATATCACGATCGGCCTCTCGCATCCTATTAACATAACGATCTTCAGCTACGAACATATTGGTAAGTTGCCGCTCAATAAGTCAAACACATGGTTTAACTCGGCATTTTTTAGGCGCTCATCAAGCTCCGGGTGGCCAGCGCCCCAGCTGTCCGAAAACTTTCAAATTATGGGTGAGTGAATGAATCACAATCATTGTAATCTTTCTTCATCAATTTCTTCTAGGCTTACAAGTCTGAAGCTGATATGGAGACCAGAGTTCTTTTGGGTGATTTCATGTACGACATCAAAGGCCCGCCTCTGCAGTTCTTCGTCATAAAGGTATCCTTGATTTCACTTTTGTTTTGTGTTTCATTACTCTTGTTCCAGACTCAACCCGACTACCCGGTGAAAATCATAGAAATGGAGGTTACGAGCAACTACGGGGCCGAGTACACTTCTTTGTACCGTCTGCGCGTGCATGGATCTCTTTATAAACCCGGAAATGAGTAGATGGATGGTCCTCATCTCTGTCATTTCTGAGTCGTACGTCTTAGTGTAATCGTTTCTCACTTCCTATCCTGACGCGTAGTTTGACTACCCTAAATGCACATACATAAATATTCGAATAGTTATAGAGCCGGTAGGTGAAGTAATGTGCAGTGAAATCTAACAGAACATTTTAGCAATAATATTTTTATGCCTCTCATTTTTTCCAAAAAGAAACTGCCGAGGTTTATTTTATTGTGCGCATTTTTGGCAGAGCTCGCCAATAGATTTGTTATTGTCTTGTGTATGTGTAAGCTCTTCCGCCTAATCCCAAATTCATCTCTTCTAACATAATCTTCTGCTCATCTAACTAAACATTTCTCAGTATTGTATGCGAGGATTACATGTTTTCTTGGCAGTTTTCACCCATGCCTACCTCGACTACTGCCGGCCATGCGGCCCTCATTGTTTTACTTTTGTGTATATCTTGTGCCGGTGATGTATTTCTGCTACTTGTTTTACTTCGTTTCAAGCAGTCACACCATTTTGATCGTGTTGTTATTCTTTCTTTGGTCCGTAAAGGCCATCACTTTCTCCGTGTACTGCTAAAGGATCTCTTTCCAATAAATTCTTGTTACACTACTATTTTTGCTAGACACAAACGCTCGATCCATGTGATTATTGGATGCTGTGTTCAAAGAAGAGGAATTTCCAAGACATTTACCGCGGATGTTGTATAAAAAACGGGAAAAATCAAAGCTTTCACCACTACACCAAATTCTTGAGTTAAAAAACTTCTCCGTTACTTGAAATGGCATAACTCCTGCAATCGAGAAACACAAAGATCATTTCAACAATACTTTTGCAGCATAATCGAGGTTAAAATTTTTATAAGGTTGTGAAGAAAGTTCCCGAGCACTTGCAATTTTTATCTTCAGACTGTTTTAACTCAAAGACTCAAAGCAAATCTGTCCTTTTCGAGATTTGCTAGCTTTGCTGCAAAAACAATGTTGTCTACAAGCACGCCTACTTTGTTGGGTCCTCAGCACTTCATTTCGGGACGCCAGCAAACACAGAAGAGAAAAAGGGTTATTTTGCAAATCGGCATATTCGCGCGGTATTCTTTTGGACAAAAAATAGTTGGAGAGCTCTAATCCGGTATTTATGTAGACAAATGGGGCTGTCAACAGGTCAAGTCACGACTAGTTCACCAATACCCGGAATAGACACGGTCTTATATCAACAAAGGTTGAAAACATTATAGGAAAGTTTAGGCTTTTCTCTCCAAAAATTTTTCTCAAAAAGTTCAACTGATTGTGGGAAAAGTGAGCTGGAAAATAAAATTTGCAAAACTGCTCGGGAAGTTTCTTTGCAACTTATTAGCTTGTTAAATGTCTATACTAGAACCGACTGTTTCTCGTACAAATCAAATTCGGAGTTTTCACAACAGTAGTGGATGTTTAACAGTCTCAAAAACCCCGTTTTTTGCGTCATTTCGTCCCACTATCTAGAGATTGAAGGCAGTGTCCCGGCAGTATTTCGCTGTCTAGTTTCTCACCTATTCGGAGCCTTCTCGCTCTGGGAAATCCATATCTGGGCTTTTCAGTGCATAAAAACGGCGAAAATGAGCCCTTTTTTGAAGCTTTCCAGATATGCATTTGGTGAAAACACGCCGGAAGTCTTCCGCCTCCATCGGTTTGGATCCCGCCCACTTACACGTATTTTCCATTGAATGCGGACCTAGAAACCTCCGAAAAAGACTCATTTTCGTCATTTTATGCGCTGAAAAGCTCAGATATGGTTTCCATGCTGAGAATGCTGCGAAATTCTGAAAAACTGGAAAATGAACTTGCCGGGACACTGCTCTAAACGGAACTTCGGTTACGGAATAGTTCATGGTAATCGCTAGAAGAATGTGAACTTGTTGTATCAATTACTTATTAATCAATAGTTACATATCACTTAAGTATAATAATGCATCGCTGAGAACCAGCGGTTCCAGGATTGTCCGGGAGGGAGGGGGGGGGGGACGAAATCTGTTTTGAGAAGGTGCATGGCGTTAGTCACATATTCCGGGCATTTTTTGGGATGCTTCCCAAAATTTATGAGGGTTCATAACCCCGAAATTGTAGAAAAAGGAGGCGTGGCGGAACAAGGCCCACATGGATTTTTAGAAAATTCCAAAAAATTTACAACTATAAACAAGTCATTTGTAAATTTCCATGACTCATGTGAGTGATTATTTGGCGACCCATTGGGGGGGGGGGTGGGCTCCCCTCGGTTCATCTTTGCTGAGAACTAATAAATTATTTTTAACAAGATGAGACGATAAACATGCAACATTCCCAAAGTGGAGATAAAAACTTTACTGTAATACCCATATTGTCCACAAAATGATAAATAGAAAACAACCAACAAACAAAAAAAGCTCATTCAACAAAAACATGGAGCGCTGTTCCCTGTTCCATTTTATTTGACCCAAAACTCAAAACTGTGAATTTGGCTAGCACTTCGCTGTCAAAACGTGTGGGTGGGGTGCTTATTTGGTAGCCTGATTGAATTCATTTACATGACACCAATACATCTTGTGCGAATTACGGTAGACGTACGGTAAAGAGTCAAAACTATAGACATTTCATACACAATAGGCAATTAACATGCTAGTTTCGCACGGTGAAGCATCTTGTGATAATAAAATGGTTGAGAGTGTGGCTGTCCCTGAATCTCGAAATCTTCACCTTAAAAATCTAGGAAGCTCTCACCACCTCATTATACCTATCGTAACCCAGTCAAATGGCGTTAGACGAATAAATACAGTAATTGCTAGTATCTTGAATAACGTCACTCAGCGAAGTTTTAGCAGAATTCACATCGAAATTGTTTGTGGATCATCTAAGGTGGAGCGGTACATATCAAAAACATGCTCTATTCATGATAATTTTCCAAGTTGATGTTTTTTGACCAGATCCGTAATCGTGAAGAACGTTGAGTCGATTATGCCCGCTACCGTGAATGTACCACCCACCACGGCACATATCTAAAGGAGGAGCTTCATGTTAGATTGGAAAAAAGAAAAGGAGTAGTCGGGCCACAATTTTGGGCATTTGTACCACAAAAAAACTTACTGAAGTGAGGAAAGTGTAGAAAGACATGCGCCATTCTTTTTGTTTGACAGTGATGGGTTGTACAGTATACTTGAACCATACGGCTGGTATAACTTGTCCACTATGATGGTAAGCGAGGTAGTCCTGAAATTTCACTACGTTACCGGAAACACTTTAGGGAAAGCAAGATCGTTATGAGATTTGTAGCGGAACTAAGTTTATGTACGCTTTGAGATTTCTCTAAACAATATATTGACCACACAAAGCTTCATAGGCAGCAATTGCAGCGTTGCGTATCGTCCTCCCGCCGACTCAGAGGCGTCGATACCGTGCCGCTGCAACGTACGCAGCTTGTGCAGTGTAGGCGTCACTCTTCAGAATTTTGCTTCGCAATTTTTCAGCGGTTCGCGCGCAAAAATAGTGTTGGTTTCAACAAAAAAATCAACTTCAATGACGCACACTGTGTCCGAAAGTGTACTGATAGCTATTCCACACTCGTCCTTTCATGTTTTCGTAGATGGACGGCACTATCTGTAACAAAAATTGAATTAAACAATTTTTATAAAAATTGTATCAATGACCTACGTTTAGAATATACTCATGCGTTAGCAGGGGCTCGGATTCAATCGTAGATTTTCCTTTCAAAGCATTAAAGCTACCCTTTACGTCTCTATTCTGAAATTGTTTGAAAGTTTACGTTAGTGTTTGCTTTAACATCTGATCGCTTACTGGAATCTCATCTCCGAAGCGTATGGAGTGGATAATATGCCTCATATCGGGATTATCTGGTTGTCGGTCAGCTGAATGAGTTGATAGATGAAAATTACCCGGTACCTGAAAAGAATATAATGCGTTTCTATGTACTGGCGCTGAGCATCAAGCAATTGAAAAGCACCTTATTGATTTCGAATTTGCTTTTGAAGCGACACCCGTCATTAGGAAGAGGCTCTTTCGTTGTTTTATCTATGAAACCAACTTCATGCCTACCATTTTCGTCTTGTATATCCACGCCGAGAACTGCAAGTCGATAGGTTATATTTAGTCTATTCAGACAGAAAATGTGCAAATTTGGACTCACATTCGCATTTCAAATAAGGAAATGAGACATCCACTTCTACATCGATTTTTCCTTCTCGGCCGGGATCATCTACATACAATTCGCTTCTACTGAAATTCAGTATATCTGATTTAAATACCGAATAGCTTAACTACAGTGGCTTCCTGAAAATTTTCCGGGGAGGGGGAACAGTATTTTTTGGGCTTTGAATTTAGCAACGCCCTTTAAAAACATTTTTGGGGATGCATTCATAATCCTCCCGCGGCTATGCCACTGAAGTTCTGGAAAAGGGGGTCTGGAGCTGCAAGCCTTTAAGAAAGCCTTGAACAAAGCTAATTTGAATGTTTGGAAGTTTAAAAGTTATTCTATCTGCCTTCGAGTAAAAGCAAGTCATTTGATTTTAGTTTGCTTTTGTAAACAATTTTGGGCCACACCCCTCTTCCCACTCCCCTCTCCCTTCTCCTTCATCCGTTTTCTTGCTATCATTGCTTTCATGCAACCCTACTGTATTAGACACATGCTAAGACAATTTAGCTTCTCTTGCAAAGTAATCACAACTTGTGCACTCATCCACATTTGGCAAGTTTCTTTGTGTACTTGCACTACTTTCGAATTTGCAGAGGCAGGTCTGTCTTGGCAGAAGAGGGGCATTTCAGTTGCTGTGAACTGCCACTATCGGTTTTGCTTCACCACAAAATCCAGAGGTGATTGGGAATTTATATTGCTGAAAGGAGAACGACTGGAGAAATCTGATGCAAGTGATACATCTGTATGTCGATAAAATAACGCGGCATTTGAATGTCATTGGGTTTCTTTCAGCTTGATTATAGGATATTGATAGTCAGAACATTTCAAACGATAGTGTACTCCAACCCCCTTGGAGTGCTGCGAAATTTTTCTTTCATATTTGGCTTGAAACTAAGCCTTGCAACCACTTTTATAACCTTACTCTTATTGGATATGTCGCACTCAAAGTTTGGCAATATGTAGAGCTTAATGTGTGCTACAACTGCGCACAAACTATTTAAATTTCGGATTAGAAAAATTCTATGAATTTTTAAAAACTAGTAAGTTTTGAAAATTTTTGGGGTTTTAAGCTAAAATGGAGCCGTTAGCAGCCTAGAACATGCGCAACAATCCGGAGTCGTGTATGAAATGTTACTAAAGGTGTACTCAGGCGGCTTACTAAGAAGAAAATCAAATTTAGGGCCATGTCGAAATTTGGAGCCTTCACAAAATCGAACGAGTCGCTGTACGCAAGGCTGCTGGGGACAACCGTCGATGAGTAAATAGTCGCAACCTCAAAATCTATCGAGATTCCACATAGGAAGGTTATTTGACCTGCCATAAACAAATATCGTATTCTTAAATCAATGCTTTTTCACTTATTTATGGTGAAACCCTATAACGTAACCTACAATTCTTACGATTTAGCCCTTATCACGCAACGTATCTATTCGCGATCAGCATGTCGAATAATCCAATATGCCAAGTTTCAGCCAAATGTCAAATTTTATACTTTCCATTGTACCATACACCTACCATAACCCTCAGTATGACGTCAGAATTTCGAAGAACAACAGCTGCGCTTGTAGCTTACGTTAACCACACAATGACAAAATCTGAGAGGGTCATGTTGAGAGAGAGGAAAGTTATTGTATGAGTTGCAAAACTTATTTTCCAACCTAAATAACTTGTCATTCAAAATCAACTTACAGACTATTATTGACGTATTCTATTCGGAAAGAATTGTTACTATTTTCTTTGAGTTTGTCAGTAACGCGGGTGTAACCGGAGAAAGATATAAGAATTCGAGCAATCAAGCATTTAATTTTGCGAAATAATGGAGCAGGCAATATTCTCGAATATATTGCAATCAAATTGCGGTGAGAACTAGGAAAATCCATTTGCCTCATTCTTTACGGCTGAATGAGAATGCATGTGACCAAAAACTGATGTGAGAAGAATTTCCACAAAGTTTTTGATTTTTTTGTTCGCGAATGTTGAACGGACCGCTTGCTGAAAAAGAAGTTTTTGCAAATATGTTTTGTTGAATGCAAAAAAGTCAAGACAATCTGGATAGCCCACATATATGCATCTGTAGATGCCTAGGATACTAAAACACTGCTTGAGGAAACTGTGCAATACATGTATGATGCTTACTCGACAACAAATTCACTGTATTGCAAGAGTATTGCTATTTTACAGTACCCATTTGCTGGTTACAGGTGCACAAGTGAGCGAAAAGAGTGCCTCGTAAGTTAAAAGGTTTTTTCTTTTTGAAAAGTGATGCATGTTCTATGCCACATCATCATTACATAAAAGAAATCAAACTAGTATCATAGTAATTTTTTAAACGTTTTTTGTTTCCGAAATTTCAGTGCAACAGAATTGCAAAGACTCGTGAACTTAAGTAAATTGAATGGCGATGCTGAGTCCACGTCATCGCATCTATTAGGCTGTCTCATAATTCTTCCGATTTCCCCATTGAAATGAGCATTTTTTGAACGCGAGAGCATTTGGAGAGGTACGAGGGCATGATCATACATACTTCTCAGTGCATACGGTAAACAATTATGTGTGTGGGAGGAACCCAGGAACATTAGGGGCGGAGTTGGCCATTTTAACCCATCATTTATTCTTCATTCCTAACAAGAGAGAAGATATGGAGATTGCATCATAAAATTTGTGATGCATCAAGTGTTTGTTTAGATGAATAGGGTAGGATGTCTTGGAACGGAAATACGTTGTTTACAGTTTAAATCCATTACTGCTATCAGAATTTAGGTATAACTTTCTTGTGGAATACCATTTGGGCGGATGCCTGATGACCATCTCATAGATCCCGCTTTGCTTTATTGAATGTATCCCGGCTGCACTCAGCAAAGGAAAGAAACAGAAAGACTATTATTTCAAAAAAATCGGAGAAAAATTATGAGACATCCTGATAGAAGAAAGGGTCTCCATTGACTTGCGTCTACATTGCAACTTTCATATCAAATCGTAGCGTGTTCGAAATGAGCAGAAAAAGGGGTTTGCAGTAAAAAGTGTTCAGTATCTGACCACTTAAACGATTCGGGATTTACATAGCTAAAGAACTCATGGTTGATTTTTCTACTCGAGATGTGTACACCATTGCCCTTAGCACAAATAATTTTTTCCAAATAAGTGACGAAATCTGCTTGCAAAGGTAAATATCCATATTGAATCATTTGATAGACCCCCTCCGTTTCCTGCAAAACGTTTTTGAAACTGCAGCAACTGCAGCGAGATCTTCGAAAAGTGAGAGCTTCAAAAAACTAGTCAAAGCTGCTTTTGAAGACTTTTTTGAGTAGTTGCTGAGAGAACCGGAAGGCAGTACTGGTGTTAGGCTTGGAAAGTGCGGAATTTTGTGGCCTTTTCAGCTTACACCAGTGCTGGTGGTTGACTGACTGTCTCAAAAAAGAACTGATTTTCATAAATGGCAAATGAGGAAATAAACAAGGAGTAGAAAGGAACAGGAAGATGAATAATTGCGATAAACTTACATTTCTACGCTCATGTATTCCAGTATATCATTGAATATCATGAAAGCTATAAATACTACGCAAACTATTGAGATAACAGCACCGGCTGTTGTGGGCTGTGTGAGGTCCTTCGGAACCTTCCGGTAGATGTCCAATCTGAATAATTGTGGGGAATTAGCAAATTTTGTTGAAAATTGAAAATAAAGGTATTGTTCAAGTGCTGACTTACTTCCGAATGTCAAGAACCATTTGCGATCGATCGTGTGCCCTTCTTCCGTTTCCTCACAACGTTATTGCCGTCCGGGCCGCCTAAGCACACAAAACTCGGCAAGGATAAAGGCAAAACACTGTGAGCACTGTGAGGACTAGGTCGAGGTAGACGCCAATTGAGCACGAATGCAGATGAACAGGTCATGAGCACGCAATTTAGCGACGAGTAAAAACCCGCGTGGCCCCGCATGGCCCTCGATTGCGCACTGCAGCTGGATTCGATAGCTTTCGAAATTATTTTTCATGAATATGGTAAGAGCTGTGTGCAGAAGCATTTTCAATGAATTGCCTGGTTTCGAAGAGCATTTCGCACGTTGTGCTGTTCTGTCCTTTTGAGCAATCAATGAGTTGCAAATTTGGCTGCAAAGCCATTGTCTATTTGCACATCAATGATTCAAAAGTAAAAAGTAAACCTTATAACACCAATAACTTGATCGCTAGTTTAAAGAAAAAGCACCGACATGAAAAAATTTAATTCACTATTCTTATTCAGCTGAGAATAAACGTGACATTTTTCGTAGTAGCTGCGACATGCATTAATTTTAATATCTTTGCGATAGTCGATTTCTCCAGAATGTTGATTTTCCGTCGTGGAAAACCAATACAGTAGAAAGATGAGGCCAAAGTGAATGTTTGACTGAGTTGAGAGACGGGCTAGGGAAACTCTACCCGGAGTTGTTTCAAGAGCGATAACAAAGTGCAAACAACAATTACAATAAAGAACAATTCAGTACAGTGATGGCAGGAATAATTTGTTTTCCCATGTGAGTCATTGGTTTCATAGAAGCTGGCTGAAGACAGGGGACAATTCATTGCTTATTTTGTGATGAACAAACCAATTGTTTGGTTGATATGCTAGAAAAGAAAGCTAAAATGAAAGCTAGTACAGATCCAGAAGAGCCTCCAGCTATGATGTAGGCCGAATTGAATGGTTTATGGACTCATACACAAACGTCATCTGACTGAGGTCAAATTTCTCGTAAGAATGCCAGGAAAATACGATATTGCTGCCCCTAGGCTTCCCGAATTCTAAGCCAAGCGGACTAAGTACGTGAAACCTTAAACTGCAGAGCTTTAGCTGAGTCAACGATTCCATGAATATGTACAGCTGGAAGTACGAAAGTGAAGACAATTCGCAGCATGTCAACTTCAGAATGAATTTCCAGATGAGCGCTGTAGATCTCGTGGTGTAGTGGTTATCACATCTGTCTAACACACAGAAGGCCGGCGGTTCGAGCCCGCCCGAGATCAAACTTTTGGTGGACACGCATAAGAAACGTTGCCATTCATTTTGAAAACAGAATTTTGAATTCTTTGAGAAATCTTTCAGAATTCTATGCGGAATTCTTGCAAATCAAATTTTTGTTCCTATACGGAAGCATTCAAAATCTAACATGCAAATGAGTGTCTTTCATTGTCGTTATTTGATTATTTCTAATCTGAAGAAACTACAAATATCTATGATAATAACATTCAGCCTCTGCAAGAAGAAAATCAATGGTGTGAGAGATAAGAGCTTATAGGAATGAATTTGACAATGAATCGAGCTGGATGCTTTGTCAGTCTTTGTTCATCGAATGTACTTGATAGGGCAAAATTCATAGACAGTCAGGAATTTGAAGCTACTTTCTCTATCTACCGACGATTGATTTCTTTTCGTTCAGGTAACCATTTTCTAATGAATCAAGAAATATCCGACTAGTTACAATACTTCGTGTGATTGATTGCAATAAAAGGAAGGTTCTAAAGCCTGCAGTAGATCTTTGGAAGAATGAACAGCTAAAGAGAATGAGTAGGCTTTAGAATTCGCAATCTTTGATGGATAAAAAATTTGGAAATTGGAAATCTAAGGCTGAGCAGTGGCAATCAATATCAAAAGTATTACGTTGATGCACAATTGCACAAAAAAAGAAGAAAAGCCATTTGAAATTGCAGGAACAAATCAATCAATTTACCAATGTGCTCTTTGGGTGCACATTCTGAAAGCATAAGACATTCTCTCTCTACTATTTATCAAATCATAAGATTTCATTGAAGCTGGAAAAAGTAATAGAATTTCAATTATTTTAGTGCAAGAATAATGCATCACCCTAATACAAAAGAGCAATTGTTAAAAGGAAGTAGAGATACTCTTCAAAATAGAGGCTTTTTGGAGCTCGGACTGCAACTAAAGGTCTGGGCAGATAAGTTTTTGCGATTCGAACTGCAAGCGCAGGTCGAGGTGACGATGGGCGTAACCATTGTAAGCGGAAATACTCTTCAATAGACTTTTCACTAGTGTGATAATAGTGAGTGGATCGTCACTCACATTCATTAAAATTCCACAAAGTGCTCGGTTTATGTCGATGAGGAGCGAAATCCCTTTGTAACTTGTTTGAAAATGATTCAAATATTTATTCGAATGTCAAAATGAACTGTTTATTTACAGTATTCGGATAAACTCGAATATGACAGACTGTAAACCTCTTTGCACCCATTAGCACAAATAACAGAGATATGTTCAGACGAAAAATATACATTGTGAATATTCAAGGATCAAGAAACGAAAGCTTATGACAAATAGGCGATTTCGTGCTAAAAGTCATTCGCATATAGATATACACTTTCACGATAAAATCGCAGCTGTAAAATCAAACAAAAGTGAATTGGCAAATTCAGCTGGAGACCGGATGGTTCTCTTTGACGGGCAAAATATGTGCGCTTTCGGCACAATGCGAAGTACACGTCGACTTAGTATCGATATCCAGCACCAGGAGGTGTCTGGAAGGGTCCTGTTCCGAAATGGTACCCGTTTGGCGTCGATTGTGCGAGTGACATCTGTAACGTTGGGACGATAAGGAAACAAAATTATATTGATATTTGATGATTAGATGTAAATTTGTTTAATTGCACACCGTTCTTAGCAATCTAATATGAAAATAATGCCTTTGCCTTCCTAAAAAATTCCTAAAGAATTCGTAAAGAATTCGATAATTGTCATTGTACTTTACCGTCCTATAAAATCTAAACCAAGGCTTAGGGAACGTCATGCCGCTTATGGGCTTCGCCGTAGACAGTTATCACGGCCTTAAGTGAATTTAGGTGGCTAGTTGAAAATGCAAAAAACGAAGTCCCCCTTGACTTTTGCGAATTTTTACGAAGCTCCCTTTGACCCTAGACCATAATCCCTGGAAAAATCTCCAAAAAACGAAACGTCGACCAAGAATAAGTGCAAATTTTGTTTCTTTTCGGCCCCCTTTGCTTCTTGTCCCAAAAACGATATCCAGCTTGCTTATAGCCACCTGTGCCGAGCCTTTGGGGTGGGGGGGGGGGGGGGGGAAAGGGGAGTCAGCGACGTGGCATCCTTTACCCATTTCAGCTACAAAATGATCCCCACAGCAGTTGAGAACGACTTTGTTTTGTAAATTTGCTATGATGATGAAAATGAAGGATTGGGGATTGTGCTCAGGTTATTCCCTATGAAACGACCGGAAGCGCTTAAAAAATTCTGAATTTCCAAAACCTTTTGACGAATTTCGGCAGCGGGAAAGGAGTAGAGCACATTAAGTCGCCAGAAGGGGCGTTGCTGTGTGTACATTTGCAACAAATCTCGCGCCTTCACCATCACTGCCTCGTGCTAGCTCTCGTGGGTTAGAGCCTATAGGCGACCTAATGCCCTCCACCCGTGAAAAAGTAGCCTATAGAAAGGCCGATAAGTCTATTTGTTAAGTAAACTATTGTTATACATTAAAAAAGGTTTTCTCAACTCAAAGGCAAATTTGAAAATTTTGCAAGTCTTTTCACTGAGCCCATTCATGAAAGATAAGGAATAAAAAATTTTTGACGTTACAGACTTCATGTTCAAAATACTGAGAGTTGCAACTTACATTCGAAGTTGCACGAGATAAACCGGAATCCTCCAGAAGACGTTTCTGTTTCTTATCCTTTGAACGATTTATCAACCATACGATCATCCAGATAACCACAGCTATCACCACTAGTATACAGAATATAACGATTAATGCAACTGCCCAACCATATTTATTCTTCCTGAAATAAATTGACCTGTCAGCGGGTAGAGGAACGAATAATTCGATTAGGCACCGCCTCCGCGGACTACTGCTCCTAACATGGTGCACAACAGTAAGACAAAAGGACCAGCAGCCCGTGGAGGCGGTGCTTAATTGAGGTGTTCGTTCCTCCACCCCTGTCAGCCACTGGCGGTCCCACTTTCCGTTCGTGGGGGGGGGAGGACAAATTTTTTTTCGAACGAAGTTGCGTGGCGCAAGCAACGCATTCGGAAAATTTTTTTTGGATTCTCTCCAAAATTTTTGCGGACCCATCTTTGAAATTCTAGAACAAGGGAGCGTTGCTACCGCAACGCCCTCGAGAAAATTTTTACAAGGCTAAGTTGAGATTTTAAATTCTTCAAAAATTATTTTCAACATTTACAAGTTACAGGTTACTAACATTCAAAAATTCCGCCGCCCATTCTGAGGGGGCGCTCCCAGTAAATAGAGTAAAAGAACAGTGGATATGAGCTATTTGCTACAATGATTTTAAACTTTCCCATGCAACAGGTTTTTTTTGACGGCTATGGAAAACCAGCGGCACCTGTGGCTTCACAAATTCCATCAAAAGTGCAACGTTCGTTTAGAAGTGCAGATGTTCATCGAAACACCTGTTTGTCGCAACTGATTTGGAAGAAGCCTCTTCAGATTAGCAGTTCAAATCCGGTATGTAACAAGAGTTCTTGATCAACACTTAACGAGTGACTTATTCAGATCTGGAAATTTGCCTGTGAAACTGGATTTACGCCCTAGTCGGATGGAAAAAAGTGAAAGTGGGTGTGAGGTGTGATTACTTCTCCGCTTCTTCCTCTTCCCCAGAAGCTCATAAAAGCCAAAAAACTAGAAAATTTGCTTTTGAAACTTACCAATCGTCATTATTGCAACAGGTAGTTGCACAACAACCAATATCTTTATAGCATCTTTCAATAATTGTTTGTCCTACTGTCGTGCTATACATGCAGTCGTAGAATGAAGGATCAATAGCTGCAGATAAATCCAATTTTTTGAAGCTCAAAATTTTAAAAAAATGTGAGATTTACGAACTGTTGACTTTCTGATCCACTAATCCGGTTCTTATTAACGACTGTGTTTGCGGTGTAATGAGATTGCTCAGCACGTTCGTGGCAACATTGGTCCCAACATTGGTACCAGTGTCATATTGGAATCTGGTGCCAACGATGCCGGCATCATTCTGGATGCTGGGAGGACTATATTCGGCTCCTGGAAAATATTCGTGAATTTTAGCTGAGTAGTATGTATTGAATTTGCTTATGAATTAGTAGCAAATTGATAGCGTGTTTTTATTGAACAGAGTATAAACAATGTCAAACAAGAAAAAAGGTTGTAGAATGATAAAAACACCCCCCCCCCCCCTTTCCCATCAAGAAAATTTTATTTTATTTTATTTTCCGAAGCACTGGAAAGCAGTTTGTGTCTTTTTTTTCTACCATATCAATTCGAAACTCGCATAAGAGGACTCTCATCACTTAATTGTTTCTCACTGGAAACTTCTTTCGTTAGCTTTACATTTTGAAACCCGTACGTACGAGTTGTTCGAAAGCGTAAGTATACTCGAGAAAAGTTCCTCTTTCAGTGATAACAAAAAACGGTGCTAGAGATTGAGTAATGACATAGAACAACCTCCTTTCAGCAATAGAAAAACCTTTGACCTAGAAAGCAAAACTACTTTCGACATCAAGCTATACGCATCAACGGAAAAGTTGGAAGCTGAAGAGCTGGAATTTGTAGCAGAGGCGAATTGGATATTTCATTATAGAAAATTCGTAACTGTATTTGTAACGGTAGTACTGATACAAAATTTACTACAGGCGATTTTCTCTAATTCTGGAACTTGTGAACTTAATTACTGTGCACCCTCATAGTACGTTTTCTTTCAAATTTCTTATGAAAAAGTTCTCCTCGCCAAACAGTTCTGCTACAAAATTATGAGACATAAAATCCGGTACTTGTGATTCATACAATCACTACACCTGTTTGCTGCGCAAGCCAAAAAGCACAGAAAAAGCAGCACAGTCAGGTAGATTTGCACAGTAAGGTATGCAAATGCACACCAGACACACAAGAGAAGCTGATGCTTTTCTTTCGGATTTAATCTGTTAATTTATTTCTACATTTATCTCCTTCTTATTGCGCAAAGGAAATCCATAAATAAAAGTTTGTGCACAAACAGCGGACACCTGTAGTGTAAACTGCAAACATTTTCGGCTAAACCCTTTACCCAAAATATTTTTTGGAAAAAGTCGTGTTTGTCGCCAGAAACAGGTTGAAGAGTTTGAATCCCAGTCAAACCGTCAAACAAGAGATGTCGTACTTGAAAACACATTGAAAACGAAATCATTGTTATATAGATGAAAACAAAACAACATAGGATTTTCCGGGAGACGGTCAAGAGGCGCGATTTCTCTGGCTGTCACCAACTTCAATCTCCAGTTTAGTGCTATGCAAGTCTTAAAAAATTACCAGATAAAGTACATTAGCTTACTATCTGTCTAAGATCACGACTTGCTGAGTTTCATGGTTTTTGTTATAAATCGGACTGAAATATTTACGAATTTGTTCTGAAATGCGTTTTCATGAGTTTCTGACCTTCAAACTTGCTCTTTTGTTTTCGAGAGTATCAAGATTGAACAACTCATGCAACTATCTAATATATCTTCTTCTAGAATTCATATACTTCTAGAAAGTTGTTGCAGAACACATAAATGTGCTATTTGGTGTCTAGCTGGCGATAAAAATCGCGCCTCTTGACATACACCCGGATTTTCCTTCAATATCAGCAAAGAACTTCTAAAGACCTCAATTCTACAATACGGAGGCTTGTAATTACATATTTACAATTCAAGATGGTCCGATGACATAGTTTTAATCATGTTCTGAAGAGGATGACATCTTGAGTGCCTTAACGACGATTTATCCAGCGAAGATTAAAAACTGTTCTGCTTTTCGACACGCTCTAATTGAAGCACGGCAGTTGACCCCAAAGTGGTGTGGTTTTTCGATTATGGATGATTAATACGCTAACGAAGATGGATTAATATTTTACAAAAACTCGTTCTGCTTCCTTTTCATACAAAGCGATTGAATAGGCGTAGAGGATGAAGTTGAATCAGAAGGTGATGATAAACATTGCGGATGTGGTTCTTGTGAATTTTTCGGATAGGAGTGCCCGAACGGAAACGAAAATGCAAATAATTCGGACTAGATAGGAGTGGCTGCAAGAGCAATGCACACAAACAAATCCTTCAATCGTTCTGGACAATTTTTGGTTCAGTGAGGGATAGGAGGGGATTTGGTGGGAAGTAATCGCTTCATTAATAGACTTATAGAAGATTCTTGTAGATGGAAAGGCATGGTAAAGTGCAGAAGGAAATTCTCCCTCTCGCATATCAGATGAGAAATACAAATATTTTGGGGCAAGGAAGAAAATACTGCGAAAAATTCTGCAAAAAGGAATAAGGTCACAATCCACGAAGCCAATGACCTGTCTGGATGCAAAGTTCAAAAATTCCCTTACCAGGTACATCCCAACGACTCCACGGACTAGAGCGGTCAGCGGCCATCGAAACGCAGCGGATGGCGTGAGGGCGATTGTCGTGAAGGGCGTAGTCGCGACGATGCCCGCCGGTGCGAGAAGAGGGCGGATTCCGCGCCGTCACCGGTCGGTCGCGGGCCGGCCGCTGCCGGCGGCGGCGGAACCGGCGTCATCAATCGCGCGCAAATAGTGAAGTATTTCACCGGCTTATCTTCTCTATACCGTTTTTGCATTTCTTTGCCTCAGGCAAATATTTGTCAGGAAATTTGCACATGTATATCAGCTGAAGGCTGGATTTATCAAGTAGTATCAAAGCGGCGCTTTTGGCTACATATGACATCACACCTGAGTCTGAGATAGTAGCACTTGTAAATATAATAAGAAGATATTTGTGCCGTCTTCCTGCAAACTACTTCAAAATCCTGATAAAGTACTTTAATCTTAATCTTTCTGAAACCTTGAAATTTTAGTTGTGTTTTGCCGCGCAGAACTTAAAACATGACAGCAAAAATCATATCGTGTCAACTTTTTTACATCTAGCCTTGTAAAAGTTTCAAAATTCCTCTTAAAATTCCAAAAGAAAGGGCAGCATACTATAAAATATGATTAATAATCTCAACTAGTTGAACTGATATTTGTTTGATGTATGTATTCGTCATCCTATCAACGACGATTGCGTTGAGAACAGCTCCAACCGGACTGTGCAGCTCTGCAGTTGACTTAGGTCCTCTCGCGCATGTGCAAAAAGCTCTCAGAGGACTGTTGGTGCACCCTGCGTTTGTTTGACTGCCACATTCGTTTTGCAATGAGGTAGCACCTTGAAATTGGCGAAATTTTGTCTACTCTTGTCGATCATCTTGAAAATAAATTGAAATGGCTCACGATTTTCTTTTAGCTCTTGTGGAAAAAATGCCATTTGACCAAATGAAACGAGATTGAATTTCGTGCCAAAAAGTTTCAATGGCAAAGAAAACCTTTTGTAAACTTTTTGAACTTTCGACAATATCAACAACAAATTCTCCAAGGACAGCTCTGAGTATATTTATAAGGCCTTTGTAAGGACGTTTTAGCCATTAGCAGTCACAACAGGTCGAACCTAAGATTCAAAATCATTTCAAAACCATAGAGCATATTATATATACCTTCACTTGTATACTCATAAAATTCAAGTTTTTCTTATTTAGTAAATACTCATGAACTCAAGTTTTTCCTACTTAGAAAGTAATCATTATCAATTTTGCACAAATTTGTTGACCGAAGTGATGATATCAAAAAGGATTTTTTTGGCACCCTCCTTTTGCTGCGGACACGAACAAGTACCATTTTCTAGATACTGTAATCTTCTAAGTCTATCGAAACTGTTGAAGAAGATCCAAACCTGCTTACAGTCGAGAGTTCCCCCTACAAAAGTGCACTATCGCTCTTCGTAATGTTCTTCAAAGGTCTGGACTACACTGAAAGCGTTGCAGTCAGGTTTTTTTGCCAAGCTACATTTCTTGAACCAGTAGTCAAGAAGTTATTTCAGGCTCTCTCGCACTCTTAAAGAAGCTCTGCAAAGAAGAGAATTGAAAAAAAAGTTCTACTAGTGGATAGTATGTTGCGCACTTCAGAACAGGTTCATGACTGAAGTGCTTCAGTGAAGCTAGATGCTGAAAGTTGTTTTCAGAGCGATGAAATGTTAAAGTGAAAAATACTTATTTCCTTAGGAGTTAGTTAGTTATTGGTTCATAATACGTTTTTAAGAGTTTTGCTCTAATTTAGAATCTGTTCTTTGAATACAAAGAGGATCAATCGCGAGAGAAGCAAATTTACTGGAAATTTTGGCTCAGGTTTCTCGAAGTCGGTTGTTTTACGTCATCTTGGGCGATGAAAATTTATTTACGCATTTTTATCAACGACCATACTCAACACATCTGTGACACGTCTTGCATCACTATTTCTCTTTCCAGCTCTGGATATCTTTACTATGTACATAATGCACAGCACATTTGACTGATATGATTTTTGCGATACCTATATAATTGTCGAAAATCGGAAATAGCAGCTGTAAATGTGTGAATCCTCGAACTGAAAATAGATCGTCGCAGTACCGAACACTGTGTAAATAACGCAAAGCCGGCCGGTTTTCCGTGGTTCAGTCGTCTATTTCCTAAATTCCCAAAGTATCAAATTCAAAACATGAGCATGTAGAAAACATGTAGAAAATGTATGATAGCAGGAAAAAATTTATTTGCAAAATCTGTACCACAGGAGGGAGGTAACACACTGTGCCGTAGCCATAATATCCGCTGTGACCATAGTGGTAGTCTTGATTCCAATCTAAATACATTACTAAACTAAATACAATATTACATTGACTTAAATACATCTATATATACGAACTCCAAACAATCAATAAAAGACTTTGATTTTCAAATTCTGAATCAAGTATTAGACTGGGTAAAAAATAAGCTCATTTAAATATTAGATTGGGTAAAAAATAAGCTCATTTAAAAAATAAGCTCATTTTGGCATGCAAATCTTCATAAAAGATTGTCTTATTGTTTTCTATCCGTGGTTTTTTGTGGGAAAGTATTTCAAGCTTCCTCTATCACATATCAAATAGTTAGGATTTTCTATCATTAACACATTGACGACCGAGCAATGGCTACCGCGTGGGACCGCTTGACACACCATGTGTGTCAAGGCTTGAATTTTGTTAAAGTAACTACTATACTTTGATAAACACACTCCACGAGCTTTCTTCTGCACCGAGTTTAGAGATGACCTCTACCGTTAATTTCAGCCTTTCAGATCTACTGTAGGTGTACTGTAGATGGCAGTATCCGTAACTATAGTTGAAAAATGCGGGCTGGTCCGTAAAAGGCCTTGGTCCCAGAAGGCAGACAACTAAAAATCTGCATGGTCGTCAATGTGTTAATAAAGATAGTTATTCCTCAACAAAACTTCCAAAACTCAATCCTTTGACTTCCCAAGCTTCAAATTCATGCTGTAATGGATGTAGAGAACAGCAGTTTGGTATTTGGGTACAGAGTAGTTTTCCCTATTTAGTGTAGAACAAGGAAAATTGTGATCTGCCACTTTGAAGACCTTCTATTAAAAAAACCAAATTTTCTTATATTTGCGCACTATGAGAAAACTTGGGTTTCTCACTTCTTTGCGGATTTTCCTTAGAAGATAAGTTCTAGTCAAACAAAATTTATACTCCAATCCCATTGAAGTGCTCTTTCCAGAGGTACCAAAAACTAGACAAAAATTTGTTTGCAGCGTTTAGAGCCGCAAAAGCGACGGAACTTATTTATTATCCAACCGTACATCTATTTGTAATTACATCTATTTCTTGCAGTTCTCACTTCCACATTACAATTTAGTAAAATTTGGATGGAGCATTTTGAGGATACCGGTGCGAAACTCGAATCCAGTGAATTCAATTCTGTCGATAAAAACATCTCCTTTTATTCCAATCGCCTGCACAGACTCCATAGGAAAGCGGTGACTGTAGTAAGCAAGATGTTGGCCATTTACTTGGATCTGGGGAAATAGAGCTCAAGTTACGGTTTCCAACAACTTTATAAAATCCTCACTTCGTAGTTGTCGTGTTGTACGCAGATTTGAATATTAAAACGGTCCCCACGATGAAGAGGATTGTAGCTCGGTATCTGACAAAGCGACACGCTAGGCCCTCGATTATGGGTCCAAAATTCCCTCGCAAACCTCTTGGCCCCAGTTTCCATCGTTACAGGAGTTCATAACAACTTCATTCTCGTTGCAATGGAAACGGAAGTTTATATGAAGTACAACGTTGGGCCCGGACAAGAATTCAACAGCGAAATTCCTCAAGATTAGGAATGATACCTATCTTCTCACAGATCATCTTCAGTTCAGACAAATTTAGGTAAGTCTTATAATATCGATTAAACCATTAACGACGACGCCTAATTTTGAGTGGCGGCGCTGTGAGACGACGCAATTTTGCACAACACTTTCGGCGTGGAAAGGTTCTGTGGATAGTTATGAAATGCGAAGTTGTGTAAACAACTACGAACTTTTTTTTTTCGACGGAGAAAGTCTACCCCAAGAGTGCAAAAAAATGGAAAAATATTAATCTATGGGAGAAATACTGGACCTACAATGGATATGACTTTGTAACAGTGTACGCCACCGGTGGTCCACATGGTCCCTGGCAGCAAAAGTGCGTGGGCCACCGATGGTTCACACCGTCGTAATTGGGTTGGTAGGCCAACTTCAGCTAACATTAAGCCATTGCCCAAGCGGCTGCTTACGATGTTTACCCGTGGCAGAAAAAACTCTGAACTGCAGCCGTAACCGTACTCCTGCCGAGAGGACCAATAAGCGCCGTCGTAGGGTAGAAAGTACGGTCTGGGCTCGAGTTTAGGGTTGGATTTCTTGCCCATATATGACAGATACGAGCTGCTGGCTGTACAGGGCATAGAAACGTTCTCCCAATCTTCTCCATATAAGTTCGAGTTGGCCAAATTTGCATGAACATTGCCTATAAACCACTTGCTTGTAACCGCGTTCGTCCACCTTTCCATGAATGTTGATTACGCATCCTGGACGCAGTTGTTCATGGACTGGAACTACACCAGGTACATCCTGCAGAATAGAAACATGAACAGAATACTTATCTTTACAGATAAACCACAAAATCTTACAGGATAACGGACAGTGTGCATGGTGAAGGTGGCCCTGTTCCCTTCCACCAATGATTAAATATTGCTTTTTTTGTGATTCATCTGGCTCTTTGTGTTGCTATGTATGTACCTCAAAGAGCTGACCCCCCCCCCCTTAATTTTCTTCAAAGAATCATCGCGAAACGTTGCTTGTGTTAGATAGTCGCTTCAAAATCTTATTGTTCTCAACCGCAACAATGTTGATCGCAGTTCCATTTCTAAAGAGTATTCGTGTGTCATCAAAAGTACGTATTTCCAGAAAAACCTAAAACTGACGATCACTTGAGTGTCATCATATTAGTGAGTCATTCCAAACATGAGTGGTACGGGTAACGTGTCTTCAAACTTGCTGATTTATGGTTATTTGGCAAACTTTTCATTCATCATTGCAAATATTATAGAAAAGAATGTAATTTAGCGAGTAAGGAGAGATATGCACTATACCTCTCGGTGAACAGATGATACGACCTCATCATGAAAAATTTATGAATCCAGCAGATCTTAAAAATTTCATTGTAGGTATACTTACGAATGATACTGAAGTTTCGTTGACGTTTTTCTATTTGCTTGCTTATATTTCATTTTATCTTAATAGAGCAATTAGGAAATCTGCACAAGAGCTAATCATAGGAAAACTTATTGAAAGCAAGCTACCGCATCTATAAGTTTATTTTTGAAGCTGTGTATTTGTAAGGACATTCCAAATTATATTTAAAGTAGCGTCCACAAATGAGTCCATGGACCTGCCTGTTGTCAAAATAGCCACCCTACCCCGGACCACCATTGTTCTAACGGGGCTCGTTCCATGCGTCAGAGCGATTGACAGATGTCGCACATTCTGCTAATGTTCGCTCAACCAATCGTGTAAGCCGCGGGGTCGTTTGTTCACAGAAAATCGAGTGAATGCTATCGTTTCTCTCTTATGGACAGAAATATTAGGTTGAGTCAAAAATAATGAGAATTTTTTGCTCCTTATGAATTTTGCACAAGTTTTGCAGAGTAGTGATAGAAGAGTACCCTAAGCTGTATTGAACGTAGCTTTTCTTTCTTTTTTCAACAGAGCGACAGCCCAATTGGCTTTTAAGTTTTCGAAAAAATTTCACAAATTTTGAATATGTCATTTTTGCTTTGAGCGAGTTTGGCTAATCCTCAGGATTTTCATTTGAGTCAACAAATTCGATTATTTGAAGGCAAAGCAGGTCCTGCTTGACGCAATCCACTTCTTAGATCTTTCGAAACTATGATTTTGAAGCTTTTTAAAATCATTTTTCAAAAGCCTTAGATTTTCAAAAAATTGCCAAAACGTAAATGCCCCAAACACAAAATCTTTCGAATTTGGGAGCTCCAAAAATAATCTTTTTACAAACCCTGGTTTTGCAAGATAATCAAGCGTTTACCGCCTCAAATTCATGATCTAGAATTTCTTGACGCGTTTGAAAAACCATGCAATCTGACTGCGAACGCTTCGGGTTCAAACTTTCTGCAAATATTTCAGCTTACGAAGTGACTTGGTTGGAACTTATAGCTTTTAGAAAGAGGAAGAAAAGCCATGTCGGAAACAGTTTAGAGCGCTTGCCTGTCTACATTCTACTTAAAGGCAGCGTCCAGGCAGATCTGGACCTTTGGGGATTTTACGTGAATACTAATTTTGGGGCCCTAACTAAGCCACTGCTCAACCGGCAACTCAAGTAGTGCTCAAACAGCTGAGATATTCCCCTCGAAACTGGACCCCGCGATCGTATTTCGCATGGATTCATGGCGCAAAGCGTGTGTCCTGGCGCGAAACTGCCATGAATCCATGCGAATACGATCGCGGGGTCCAGTTTCGAGGAGAATATCTCAGCCGTTAGTGAGTCACCTGCGCTGTCGCTTGAGCTGCCTTAGTTAGGGTCCCAAAAGTACTTTCCACGTAAAATCCCCATAATCCAGATCTGCCTGAACGCTGCCTTTAATTTGAGAATGGGTCTAACAATAAGAAAAGATGCGAAGTTCTCATTACTTTTTACTCACTCTAGTGTGTGAAAATGGCGTTCCCGTCCCGAACTGGCAGATATAAAACAATTATTTTTCAGATTTATCGATTACAATAGAAAAAACATCGTAAAATCTCAATGATGACGAGTGATGTACCGGTGTCGAATAGGATGTTAAGCTCAGGAGGCGAACGAGGACAAGCTCAACAAGTAATAGTATTAGCAACCATAAAATCACTTACCATATACACTACACAAGTTAAGTAAGACAAAGATATCTTCGAAAAATTATGGCTCAATCATGTAAAAATACAAAATACAATATTACACTATGATGTTAACAAACTTATTGAAAACTTTGAAGACCCGTAATAATGAGAGTATCGGGAATAGTCATTGCATAGGATCAGGAGAGTAGATGGAAATTGGTGCAACTTATACACCAAATGTACAAAAACATTAGTTCTTGTAACAGCAATACAGTACGCCCTTGTCTACGCGGGTCTACAACTTCACAAGTAATGGGACCCATTCCTAGCGGATCCCTGTTCTTTCAAACCGGATGCGTCTTTGAGCACAGCGGGAACACCTAATTCATCTTCGGTAGGTGATAAATGGTTGCTCCTGCTCTGAGTATTCGTCGCTGCACATGGACGGATAGTTGCGCGAGTGTGGATATCCAACCTATACAAAGAATAATTAGCTCCTTGTGGTACTCGAATATTTCAACAAAGGCATTTGGCTCACCTCCAAAGTTCTATAATTCGCAGACGAAGCGGTATAAATCGAGTTTGCCAGCGGACGATGCATCATTGGCTGAGTCCAGTAAGGCTGAGGCGAGCTGTTATCGTACAAATTCGAAAGTTCGTCGTTACCTGAATTTTCAGTCATTTTAAATTTGTTAGAATCAATCATTTTGTTGCACATGTCTGAATACTCACCTCGCTGGGCTCGCTGGATGTTGTTTCGATCAAGAGTTGCGATTCCCATTGGATACTTATGATGAAACATCGAATTGTTCAGGATTATTGGCGATCTAAAAAACCGTATCACTAATGCCTTAACACTTTCACGACGTTACGACCCACCGGTGGGTCGTACGTGTGCTGCCTTTTCGGATATTATGACCCACGGTGGGTCGCATCTCTAGAAACTGCATATTTACGAGAAGTTTCTACCTGGTCTTATCTATGGAGTAGTCCGGATTGAACTGGGTTACTCCGCGTGGATACTCGGCTGGTGCTACCGGAGGTGGAATCCGAGGTGGTGGGGGTGGCTTCCCGGACAGACACTTCGGAGATGATGGCTGAAATACAAAAAATGTACTTAAAAGCCACCATGGTACAGATTCGGCTACAGAAATTGGAATATAAGAATGAAATTACATCCGGTACTATACTTATGAATCAGTATACGGATAAGGTTACAGCTACATACTACTACTGGTCTCTTTTTTCAACAAACAGAAAAAATCCCACGCACCTCTTGATTGCATCGTAGCCAGACAATAGCTCCAATTACAAGTCCTATGAATACTATAGAGATAGGAATTACAAAGTACCAGAAGTTGTCCATATCGAATCCAATCGAGCCGAAGTCGTATGCTGAACAGATTGCATCCTCATAAATTATTCTAATAGCCATTTCGCACAATTTTTTACAATCCTCACCAGCAACCACATTGAGTTGAGCAGCTTTGTAGACGATATGTCCTTGTGTACTCGTAACAACACAGATATAGCGACCTGCATGTTCCATAGTAACCTGAACTTCAGCGTTTATCGGGGTAGGTCAAAAATCACTGGTTAACTTACCATCGGAATGACAAGTCGATTGGTGTAGAGGTGTTCGGACCCTTCTCGAGAGATAGATTCGACTTGGGTCTGTTCAAGTACCAATAAGTGCATTCCACTGGCATTCACAATGGTGGCGTTTGGATCACGACGTTGAATCGCCGCAGGGTCTTCAACTTCCTTCAGCCACTGAATAGGGAGGATTATGTATTATTCTGAAACTGCTACAGAATATTCACAAACCTTTATCAAAGGGCTTTGTGGTGACTTAGCTTTGCAAAGAAATTGAGCCGTATGACCCACTCTGACAGTAGTGTTGTACGGTTGGTCTATTATTGGCTCTGGCATTTGGCCCTAAAAATATTACTTTAATACTAGAACGGCTCGCAGATTACTCTTTGTAAATACCGAAGTGATATCTCCATTGATTCTCTTTCCATCGTCGAAAAAGTCCCCAACAGTAACTTTGAAGATAGCTTCAATTGAACCTAGGCGATTTTCCAGCACACAGCGATATTCACCCGAATCGTCCAGTCCAGACGGATCAATCACATACGAAGCGATATGAGGGGGAGTGTCTAGAAGCGCACACGTTCTTATCTCGATAAGAATTGTCGAGAAATGTAAAGTGCAACAAGTCTATGAACTAGTCTTACCTGTAGTGATACGAATGTTATTTTTGTACCATCGTATTTCCGGAAGCGGATTTCCTCGTGCCGGACATCGTAGCTCCATTCGACCTCCGCGGTTGATTTGCATAGGAGATGACCAGTCAAGGTTCATGTCGATCAACCACGCAGGAGCAGATGCTGAGTGGAGAAAAATCAACATAAGCTAACACCTTTTTGATTGATAGATCTTAACTATTAGGTTGAATCAAAATTAATTTCGTTTTTCTACGCAAGTCTCCATAAAAAATTCTCTTGTAGTTTTTATTTTAATCTATTATTCTTTGTAAGGGAAGTAGTTCAAGCTTCTGGACAGTTATGCTTCAATATAGCCAAATTTTGCGAGAGCTCAGTTCTCTGACTTTCTAAGCTTCGAATTCATGCTGGTATGTAAGTAGAGATGAGTAATTTGGTATATGGATACATCTGAGTTTTGCCTACTCAGCCAACAACAATAAAAGTCGTGATATTCATTTTTGCACATCTGCGCACAACGTAAAAATGAGAGTTTTCACTTCTTTGCGCCTTTTTTCTTCATGGGAAAATAAATCCAACTTAAACAATGTCTATATTCAAATTCTCACTGAGGTGCTCTTTCCAGAGTTAACAAACATTGGACAAAAAATCGTTTGCAGCATTTTTAGGAGCCGCAAATGCGACCGAAATTATTTATTAGCCAACTTAATATCGAAAGAGTATCAATTTTTTCTAAATTGGGAAATTTTCTGGCCATTAAGTTTTTCAGCAAATTCAATGGTTTTTTTCGAAGAAGCAAGACTTACTTGAATTCGCTAGAACAATAGCATCCTTGAGCGAAATTGAATCTTCCGAGGGATCTGCAAAACAGAATTTGCGCCAGGAACTCGAGCATCGCCAACGACATCCGTTCGCTAGTTCCCTTTAAGAGTTCTTTGCTCTCACTAAACTCACCATAAACATGCACTGTAAAGTCAACAGTCCGATGGCCAAAACCATTCGTTGCCTGACACTGATATCGTCCACTGTCATCCAGTCTTACTGACTTCATTCTCAATTCTCGATCGTCTTTTGCAAGTTTGTAGCGTGAATCCCACTCCACCTACAAGTGCCCTCATATTCGATTTGTTTCAATTTTACGGAGCAGGCGCTACATCATTCGAGCTCTCGAGCTATGCTATGCTTAGGCTTTGAGTGAGTGATTGTGAAATGTCGCGTGCGGAAGCCCTCGAGCAATGGCCATAATGGGGTGCTAGTGGTTTTCCGTATGTAGGCATTCATCCTGACAATGATGGATTGCCATCACTCTAACGCCAATGAAACAAGGACCACGCTATTTTTGCGCATCTGCTAGTGCACATAGGAGAAATAATTAACTGGCGGAGAAATGGAAGCAGCTGTTACCTGTTCGCCATTTTTGGTCCATTGTATCATCAGCATGTCTTTGTCGTTTGTTACAACAGGACAGACAAGTTTGAATTGTTTCTGACCAAGGGGAATTCGGAACTTCCGCTCGACGTCCATGAGCATCTTGGGTGGAGCTGGAAACATGGTTGTTACTGTCTGTATGCAAACGTAGAATGTCCTCGTATTTAATGAAGAAGGAAAGGGGTCAAAAATGTTTAAGAAAAGTAGAGAATACATAGGAGATCATGAGTATTGAAAAAATAGTGAAGAATAACTAGGCTTGCGGTTTTTAGGGTGTTGTGAAGAAATCAGTGCCGATATCCAACCAATTACCACCACCGCGCCTACCCTAGGTTCAACAGCTATTCTCTATCCATAAAATGTGTTGAAACCTGTTATGTAATCCTGTTGTCCCTTCTGCGCACTCTGCTTGCTCTTATCGTGTTCTGGGCATGCGTTGTCGGGTCGGGGCAGTCCTCATGCCACTTGCTATTTCCGTATTAAATTTGGATGCAAATTGGAGGCGGCGAGTGGAGCGTGGATTGAAGGGAAGCTGCGCGGACCCGGGAGCGGCTTATCGTCGTATATCTCGACACTCGATTAGCGCATCCAATCATCCATAATATTCAATTGCTGACCACTGGTCCGAGTGACTACATGCCAAAGTTTTTTTTAGTAGTTTTTGGGTTTGTCAAAAAGCGAAAAAAGGTGTTGAAACTGCAATGCGGAACGCACTTTCCTATGTTTGGCACAGTATTATTCCTCCACTAACAAAAAATGACGCCAAAATTTTTGTGCCTCGTCGCCAAAACAGATTATAAAGTCCCAGTAAGAACTTATCAGCAAGCCATTCACGGCCGATTACCACAATAAATTTGCTCCACTTCTTCTACTCCACCCCTAGAAGTATCTACACATGGTTTCGTTATGACTCTCAATCCGCCATCTGCTGTCGCTCCCACGTCCTCATCGGCTATCTAGTGGACAGAGATTCGATGTCGAAGGCTGATATCGCGATGGCGTAACCTCTGCTGCTGGGCCAAAATCCTCTTCGTTGGTGCTAATCACTATGCCACCGGAAATCCTGGCATTGCTTCCCACAGTGCTTATCTACTTGACTCATTCAGGGTTTAATGCTAGCCACTGGCAATGTCTTGCATAATTTGCGCGTGTTTTGGCAATAATGTGCGCAGAACGGAAGAAGTGGTGTTACTATCGGCAAGACAGACTGAAGGAAGTGAATCGCGTTGTGAAAGTGCGTTCTAGTGATGTTGGAGCAGCTCCAGCCTGAAGAAGTCAGTTACTCCGACACCTTCTCCATCCCCAAAATTCCGTTAAGTGAATAGCAACGAGGCTATTCAATTTCGCTAACGGTTTCATATCGCAGGTGTGGTGGGTGGTGGACCAGGTACAGCCTCCTCTAATCCTCTCAAGGGGATGTGGCCAGAGTGATCGCAGCCGAGTTCGGATTACAATCCGTTCGAGGTCAGGCTCTCCCCAGCCAGAGTGCGCCACCGGTGTCAACTACAGAATGTAATAGATGCTCTCATGTCAACGTAGCTTGTCGTCACTTCACTCACTTCATCAAACCCTGACGAGGTTTGTGTGTGGTACGTGAATGAAAAGGGAGAGTGCGGTAGAGTAGAGGCTTCCGATTCGAAAATATGCACATCTCTCGTCTCGCTGAGTTCTATTACGTGTTATTAAGCAAGCGTGCGTTATGATGAAACGAAGATTGGCATGGTGGAGTGCAATTACGGGAAACGAGACATACAGGAAACGCACGCTGCCGCGCCTGCAAACCTACACATATCAAATTTTCGCAAGAGTCTCAATGCTTTTGCAGTTGTACGAAAGCAACACCTACCAGTAAGGTTCCTGGTACTAAAGATTTGGTGTCACTACATCAGTTGAAAGTCTCCATTTCATTCCTAACCAGATAAACAATAGCTTTTGCAGTTTGTGCTGTTACCGGAATCCATTTGCGAAAACCTTAGCCAAAACCGCAGGGATAGTTTTCAACTCAACCTGAGGTTTGCTAGGTAGCCTTTCACGTATGTTATTGCCGATCATCTTCGGTACTGGGAAATAAATCCGTCGGAAGTGCCTTGAAGAATGAAATTAAGTTTTTTCTTGCGCTTATGAGACGTACAATGACGAATTGCTTCATCATTGGAAAAACAACATCAGCCTTTTTCATATGCTTCGAGCTGAGATTTTTCCAAGATTTAGGACTTTGCAGTTTTCATCGAGCCTAAAATATTGGGCTAGTAGGTCATTGCCAATTCCTCGACTATTAGATCTTATGTGTAGAGAATTGTTTTCATGTTTTAAAAGAGTAAAGGTGACTTATGCTAGTAACCGCATCCCCCCAAACTCACACATGACCAGCTTCTCCTATCTTCAAACTTAGTTTATCTACGATAGTTTGTTGCGTGCATAGTCCAAACAATTACAGATAAGGACATACGGGCAAAAAGGTGCCAGGCAACAGCTGATCAGAAGAGGGGGGAAGCATTTTCTTCGCATTCGAGTGCGGCTGAGCCTAGAATAAACACGACGACGATGGCAACACAGCTGGTCAGAAGCCGGGGCATTAATTACTGAAAAGACAGACTTGTAATCTGAGAAGATGTACCAAATAATGCTGTTTTGCTGGAGAAGGATCTGCTACACACTTATTACTTTTTGTGTTTTTTATGTTAAGGTACGCATTTGCAAAAAATTGGACGATACTCCCCTATTCGTGCCCACGTATCAAAGGCACAGATCGCGGTACGGTATGCGCATGTCAACGTCACATTGCCTGAGAGAGGCTGTCATTAGAGGCCCGAGCAGAGGTTGTATTGCGGAGATAGTCGATGATATGACCGAGTCCCATCAAGGTTAACATCATCACGCTCAATGAATACTTGTTATTCACGAATAGTCCATTACACGCTGCACGGATGAGCATTTTGGACACTTCTGGATGCTCGCAGAGTTTTCGCAGCAAGTAGGGAAGCGAAAATAGCGCTTTCGGAAGTTTGGCGGTGCGATTCACTTCATGAAGACTTTTTGCGCGATCTGATTCTCATTCCGTAACCTCTGCTTTTTTGACTCGTAGTAACCAAGTCAGAGATTTTACCACACGAAGCTACGCTAATTACATAGCCTACACACATCGCCTTTTGTCATGTCTAAGGGGTGCTGTCCCGTTAATTGCAAATGCGAATTAAGTCTCTGGCCTGCTGCTGCTCTGCTGCTGTTGCCCTGTCAACTCAATCTGTGCGTTTTAATTGTTTCCACTAATGAGGCACCATACTCGACGAGGCGACAGCGGACCACCTCAGCTCCATCCTCGCTGCAAAGCAAGAGGCGTGAACTATTATGCTAATGTCTCCATGCGACATCCGGCATCTTTGCCTATTGGTAGGCTTTTCATTTCCATTTTCGGAATACGGTGGGATCAAAATGTCACTCAAATCGCGAGCTAGCGACGCGCGATTCGAAACGCAACGCAGCTTCCCATATTGCGGAGTTGCAAATCAGCAAATTGCACAAAAAAAAGGTGGAACTGTGTTCCGTTGTTTGGCAGAGATGAAGCAATCGGCTTAGAAAAGTCGGCTGGGCGGTGACGATAATCTGTTGATAAGGTCTATTTCAAAATAGGCAGAGTAATAGAGTGTTATTCAGCGAGCAAAGAGAATTTGCGGAATTTGAATGTTTACAAGCGTAGAGTGCAGCTCTTTTTACGAGGTGAAAATTATTCGTAAACGATTTTGAGGTTGGCCTGAGAAAAATATTGAACATTTCTCGTACTCCAACACAAAACAATGCGTGCATAACAACTTTAGCCTGCATTCTCCATGGAACCCTCTGACTCACATTTTTCATATGTGAGGCAAACAAACCTAATAAGACCTATGAATCAGCAGATGAGAGATTATTCGAGCATAAGCGCTCAAATCATTACAGAAATAGCATCGATGCCAGAAGTACATATAGTGAATTGATGCTTGACATTGACAACGGGTCAAGTGCACAGCGAAAAATCCTAGAGCAATTGGACGAAGAACAGAGAACGAGGGGAATCAGCTGTAGCGGCAGAATGATTGCAAAGATTGAGAAGTAATTTATGAAAAACATAGAAGAGGAAGGGCTTTAGAGAGGGAGAGGGATGCTTTTGGTTTAGAGAAGATTGTTCAGGAAGGAGAAATTTGTAAGAAGATAGGAAAAGTAGGACTTACTTCCATGTGCGGCTTCAGTTTCCGGAGTTAGAATCACTGCATGTAATGTCACAACAACGGCAGCAAGCAGTTGTAACATTGTTCGAGGTAGACGAAATGAAACTGTAACGATAGAGGTGTTACTAATGCCCAAATATAGTGTCACACTGAGCCGTTCTTCACGTTCGCTTTTCGTGAGAGGCTTAAGGGTATCAATTCGATTTATCCATGATATTGAAGCGTTCTTTCAACCACACTCACATGCACATTCGACATGAAAAGCCCTCTTACACTCTGCAGATAACGAGTGATGCCGGGCAAAAAACCGACCAGTTAAGCCGTTTATCATACTCGCAAGACACTATGCGCCAATCATTGAAAATAAATAATCTGCACGCTATATACTCAATGAATTGTAGCCGTAAAATTCCTTAAGTGCTGAAAGATTTAGTAATACTTACGAATGAATGGCATCTTTAGCAAGAGAATATGATGTAGATCATCGATGTGGACACGGTAGACGATACGGTAGACGTGTAGAACCTTCCGATCGAGGTACAGTATGCCGCCCAATCGGAAGTGGTCCGCCAGTAATTTATGGCGTGGTAAGTTGCCGAATTTTTGATTTACGACGTGTGGCGGGAGGGGCGGTTAATGGCCTGGTGGTGGCTAGGGGCGGAGTCGGTGGGGGGTCGCGAGAGAGAGTCGCGGACGAGTAGTTGAGGTTCGGAGCCGCAGACGCGGATGGCAGAAGTCACTGGCTTGGTCGAGGTTATGTATACATACACCCCAGCCAAGTCTACCGTCTTGACTGACCGGTAAACAGGTCTGCATTTGCGCGTCGGAAGCGGATGATCGTACTCGATGTGGTCGATGTGGAAAGTTCTTCGAAGAAGTCCTCGACTTCCATAGCATGCGATTTACGGATTTTGAGTCCGAAATTTCGCATTTTTGAGCTTTGCAGCGACTTGGAGAGCTTCTTCGACTTCCAGTCCAAAATCCATACAATTCAATCGGATATGTTTTCAGTATGTCCGCTGCTCTTTGACGGCATCGTGAGCGCTCCGAGAGGAACAACGTAATGGATGATTGTCAACTGATAATGAATGATGCTGCATCGGTGTCAAAAAGCAAGTAACGCCGATCGATCAGGAGGTATCCGACAGCTGGCGATAGCATCGGCATGTGTCCCCTTACTCGGACAACCTGCTACCAACTTTCTGCCCCCGTTGTTTTTAACCGAACACATTGCGTTTTACATTTTTTTTTTGAAACATTTTGCTTGTTCGCTTGAGGTGTACTGATGTACCCAGACATTTGCTCGACACCTTGCAATCTATTATGTTGGCTAATAAATAAGTTCGGTCGCTTTTGCGGCACTTACAAATGCTGCAGACAGATTTTTGTTCAGTCTTTGGTATGTTTGGAAAGAGCATTTCAATGGGAACTGGGAATTAACCTTCCAAAGAAAAAAATCCGCAAGGAGGTGAGAAACCCCAATTTTCCCATAGTGCGCAAATATGAGGAGATCTGTTTTTTTTTTGATAAAAGATTTTCGAAGTGGCGAATCACAATTTTCATTGTATGTCGCTAAATAGGGAATTTAGGACATAACTGTCTTTACTGATGATAGAAAGTCCTGAATATTTGATATGAGATAGAAGAAGCTTTGATCTACTTTCCCGCAGAAAATCATGGATAGAAAACTACAAGAAAATTTTTCTTATGAAGATTTGCATGCCAAAGCGAACTTATTTTCTAGCCAACCTTAGCAATCCCTCCGAGGAACAATGGAAATGTTGCGCAATTATTTTTAAACTCAAATCAATTCTTGCAGCCTCACCCAAACTTTCATGATCTTTCGAAATAAAAGGTAGTTCTTGCTTGAATGCGAATTTCACAAAAAAGAATAGATAAACATATGTGCTTTTTGTGACTACTTTGCAGAAAAAGCGGACGACGAGAAATTTGTTTATTCAGTGTTTCCCCATCGTGGACTCAAGCATGCATTGTTTATTTGGAGCGTATTAGGAGTTTGCAACGACGAGATTGAGGCTGTAAAGGAGCGAAAATATTTTCAACAACTTGAAGATAAATACTTTCATTGAGTCAATAAGTTTAAGAAGCTAAGTATTGAACAATAATCTTTTGAAAGATTGCTTGCTGAATTATGCACAGTACGGCTAGCATTTCAGCCGTTTAAGACACCTGCAGATACCATGGATGTGAAGCAAAAACATAGTTTTAACACATACTGTAAAACCGCTGTTTACAAAAACAGAACAATTATCATTTTTAATGATTGGAGAGTTATGGTAGAATTTTATCGATCTGAATTTTGGAACTAGGCTACATTTCTTAAGGGGTACGACATTAAGAGTGCGGATTCGAATATTACAGGCCTCAAAGCTGGTACGATAGTATTTTCCAATCCTCATTAGAACTCTCAACTATCAAATTCGAGTTTTTAGATTTTTGACCTAGTTTTAGAGAGTGTATGGCTACAACTCGACTTGGTAAAGGCTGAAACTGAGAGAATCTTATTTCCATTTCTCCACGAATACTGGTTTTCAGCCCTCCTCCAATTAAAAACAAATTTGGTTACCTCAGTTAAATCCTTGTTTTCCTATATGACGACAGTGCCCAAATGCCTCTCACGAGAGGCAAACGAAGTTCGCTTCCGGACAATCTCTGAAACATGATATGCATCGACGCTCTGATCGAACTTGCAGAACTCCAAAATACTGAAGTGATGCGCGTTTTTGTGAAAAAGCCGGTAACGACAGCCGCGAAATAGGAAAAGATGTCTAGAGTTTTTCATCCGTACTCAGTGATTGATGAACAACATTGGAATATTGGACAGCTTTTACACTTCGGTCCAAGTGCAACGTTGAAAGCGCTGACGCACGTCTACATGCAGTAGAACGTGCTAGTCGTGGATGTGAAGAGTAGCAGAACCAGAACCACAGGACTTGCACATAAGCACCGTCAACACCCACGAATACATACCTATCGCTCTAATTATGGCATATAGAATATGCACGGTCAACAGCTGTGATGGTCGAGCAGTCAAGATGACGAGGTGAGTGAGTGTTTGACGTAGTGGAGGTAGATGAGACAGAAGTCGAGCCGAGCTCCCTCTCTCCAGCGCCTTTGTTAGCCTTGTCAGCTACACCACGTAAACATCGCGGCTATGCACACTTCAGCTCATAAGGGTACACTGTCTAAATCATTAGCGAGCAGGAAGTACGACGAAGACAATTCGTTGCATTTGCCGCGCAGTCATGGTGTGGAGCAGTAGGAAGATCTTTTTGGAAAACGCGTAGGATCTAGCCACCGTAATCAGGGCCCGACATGAGTCCGGTCTAGGCTTTTTGAAAACGAAGTCCCCTTGACTTTCGCGCCTTTACGAAGTCCTTTGACTCTCAGCCCTAAACGTAAAAAACCCTCAGAAAAGAAAACGACTAAAAACGTCGCAATTTTTGGCCACAAAAACGATGTCCCCTTTGCATCATTGCCTCAAAAACGGAGTCCAGCCTGCTTCCATACGATTTGCGCCGGGCCTTGGTTGCACCCACCGTAATCTGGTGGGTACCACAAATTTACCAAGGTTTTCCGTTTTCTAAACTTAGAGTAGTGCCTGAGAATCACAAACTTGAAGTGATAGAACTACGGCATGGAGAGTACTGGGGGAGATACCTTAAAATCTAGCATATAAGTCCTTCCAGCAGACAAATCCGCCGTGGGTACATAAATCCGCCCTACGGATGAAGCCGCCTGCACATGAGATCCCTGAAAAGCGCATTTTGTATATCTTGAAAAAAGGGGCCTGTTTGTAAAGGAATTTATCTGTCAGAAGGATTTTTCTAAGACAAAAGCGGACTTATATGCTAGATAGGATGACGGGAAATTGGAAAATGGCAGTAAAGAAGTAAAGACTACTCAGCGCGAGCAACCTATCTCGAGCGATCTGCAACGTAACTCGGTCCAGATCCAAAGTGCGCTATTTGCCACAAGGATATGATGTAATACGCATAACCGTGTGAACATGTCATAAATGATGTTTATGAGGTAGCCGAGGTGAGACGGACGGCATTTTGATGCCGGGACGCTCACGGAAGCCAGCAGGTCAAGCTACGTTGCTAGGTGGTGTCGTAGATGAAAGCGATGCCGACCGCTAGCTGCTAATTGCCTTCAGCCATGCAGGTGAGCCAAACGTCGGTACTCTTGCTCTAACGTTAGATGTAACCTTAGTCCTCAGAGCGTACACGCTAATTGAAGAGGCTTGGCCGAGAGGACATTTGGACGTCGCGCACCTTTCGATGGGGCCGAGCTGCTCAGTTGAACAACAAGCAAATGTCGGCTACTTAGCCATGCTGTAGCTTTCGCTCTCGTCCCGTTGAGTGTCGATTATGCTCAAATGGTGTTCGGATAAGAGCATGGTCGAATGGTCGAGCATCCAGTAAATGAAGGCAGTCGTTTGAAGTCGCGGAAGCGTACGGGCAACGATTGTAGATCTGAGTATCGAACACACACATACAGTAGCCAAAGAGCCAATTCAAGAAGTGCAACGCTCTGATTTTCTTTTGACAATCATAATGATGGCTAACTTTATATACCCATCCGCAGATGACTTTGAACTTACTTGACAGTCTTTGGATTTATCTGACAACATTTTAGGCTAGCTATCGTGGGAAAAAGACTTATCCGTAGGGCTGATTTGTTTGAAGGTTGTATAGTGCGGACAAATCTGTGTCAAAAACGGACTTATCTGTAAGGTTTTAGGGTAACTGAAATCTAACAGATAAGACAGCTTTTTTGCCTCCAAAGCCCCATGTTGAGATCTTGGGGCAGTCATTTTTATCTGTGAAGCTGCAGAAATTACGATCAACGGCCACGGATCACTCACAAACTTAGATCCAGACAAATCTTTGAAAAATCTATGGTACCAAATATGATTCGAAATTATCGTTGTCCAAGTGAAGAGCATACGATAAATTGTCGCTTATTGTATGCGAACGTACTTCTTTACGTTTCTAAAGGGTGTTACTCAGAGGATTACAGATAAGTCAGAACTTTACTCTACTCTGATACTCTCTGAAGCTAACAGGTCACGGTAAGGATACGGTAGTTCGGCTTACCTATTAGCCCATTCTCAAAAAGGCAAATGAGAGCATTGCCAGAAGCAACTAATAAGCAAGTCAAAACTCTGTTCAAAAGTGAGTCTAGTAAACAAGCACCAAATGCTTGCAAACGCTGCGAGCAAGAGGCAAAAGCCATGAATTTTCTATGGAATCAAGAGTGACTAGGAGTTACGTACCTCGTGTAGTGATCGTGTGAGGTCAAGTCTGACCTGCCTATTTGTTTGTTAGGAGACGATACAGCTCAGCTAATGATGGCACTCTCGTACGAATGTTCGAATATTAAAATGACGAACAGCCGCACTCGTCATACAATGTCAGCACCGCGCGCCAATGGGTTGGATATGAGCAGCCCCAAGGTGGTGGGAGGATGATTGCGGCCTTTGATGTAACGAGATGTATGAACCGGAAACGGTTTCTTGGAGTTGAGAGATTATAAAGCCTAACACACAATCGGCAAGCTTTTGAAGTTGCCTGGTCAAAAACCAAACCAAGACAGCGCCCACTGCAACAGATTTCCATGAATATCTCAGCGGAGTGAGGCTAGCGAACTGAACTAGGACTTTTAGCTAATGCAGAAGTGCAATTCAAGAATAAAGCTTTATCGAAGCATTATATCTGATAATTGCCCGAGGCTCTGCTTCATAAACTTGGTCTTATAGCAACGCTATCCCTTAGAAGGCCTAGAAGAGAGGAACACTATGCTCAACTGCGAATTCTGATCCGATGGAACGGATAGACATGTGCCTCTCACAAAAACTGTGGGAGATATGATATCTCAAGTGCTACCAAATAAAAAATTTTGAATATCGAAATACTGTGGTGAAGGTTTGTTGTGTGACCCACTCACACAATCCATGAAAAAATCGCTCTTCATAGGTCTTTCTTCTGAAAAGCCCAGAATCTTGCTCCTTTATGGAATAAGGAGAAAACTGTTTGATAACCTTGTACCCTCGTATAGAAGTTGTTGAGTCATTTGCTACGTATTAAAAATGAAAAGTAGTCAACAAAAATAGTAATCATGCTCTAAACTCTGTTCCAATGGACAAGTATCACGCGAGGATTTGGAGAAGCAACTGCTTCAGAATCATCAAATCTCGACAGCGCCAACAGATGAGCATCGATGCAACATTGACAAAGCCATGAAACTGCGTCATTGTAGCCCGCACTTAGTATTAGGATCTGTTGGAAAATTCCTTTACGACCTACAGATGTTCATACGCGCATAGAGTAAGTTTCGACCCAGCTTGGTCGGAGATTGGATTGGCGGGAGTCCGCCGTGCTACCGTTAGCGCCGTTTGCCACATACAGCATATCATATCGTTAACAAAACTTCGGGCAAAAACTCTTTTTTAGAAAATCCACTTACCAAGGTAATCCGCAACGCTGAATCCGAAATTCCGCATTAGAAAGCGCGAAAGCGGCGAGAGCACGCGTCTTCCAAAGCCTTGCAATTTGAAATTTGACGGTCCCCGCCAAGTCTGAGACGCAGAGTCGCTGCGGGACCCTACGATTCTGACTGTTGCGGTATGTGTACTCTGTCGCATAGCAGAAATTCAACAGGTCGGAGGACCCCGCCCCAAAGCGTAGATTTTCCCACTTCCCGATCGTTCTTCTTGCTCTAGCTCGAACGTTATAACCTTGTACTTGCGACGCTGTATCTGAGGGGGGCACTTTCGCATGGCACTGAGATCCCAAAACCCCAGTTAAAACCCATATCAGCGTTCTCCTGATATGAGGCAGTTTTTGCTTGGCAAAATGCCAGAGCTTTGCGCGCGCAAAGTCTTCAGCGATGCGGACGCGCTGCTTCAGGTGAGATGTTTCGCCTACTCCGGGTTGGAGCAGACTGTAGGTAGTTCTCGGATCGCCTACATCGGTATAACTACGCTTGATAAAATGGCAAGAACAACAACTCAGAAACGCTACAAATTAGCACCTGATGATTGCCAAGAATCTCGCAAAACAACCCACCAACTTTCAATGAATTTTGCTTTTTTGTACTGGGACTTTTCGGAGATGAATTCCTTTCCCGGATCCATCAATGGACAGAACAGCTTTCAGTTCTTCCAGATCTACCGCATTTGAATCATTCTCGTCATGTATCACTGAAGAATGATCACATTGACAACACTGCTTCACAGTCCTTTACCCACGAAGCGATGTCCCTCTATATAGTTCTTATCTTTACCCCTTATAAGCAAACATTCTACAGTGTTTGCTTCTCCAATAGCTTCGTTTCCCAAACATCTACCCATGTACAGCAGCTCCCAGAGTGATGTGCTTACTAAATCCCAGTAAAATCCTTACCATGTACCCTTCTACGATTTTCCTTCGTTGCCCCGCTTCATCAGCAGGCTGTGTTTGCTCTGTGGGCAATTGCGCTCCAGGGCGACTTTCCTGCTCAAACACAACTAATCCATAAAACAGTGCTTGTAAACAGTCTGGTTTGTTTACTTGTGTGATAACTTAGTCACAACACATCAGATTTTCTGTATGCTGTAAAATACAGTGTTTCCACCTAAATTGCTTATTCCAGGATATGCGGCAAGACTTATGGGTGATTATCCAGTTGGGATTTGCCTTTTTCACAGTGTTCTCGGCTTTCAACTCGCAGGGCTTCGTTGAAGTAAGTTTATTGTCAAGTTAAGTGCCTGCCACAGAATATACGTTTAGATTTCTGTGTTGAGAGGCATCTCCCAGCATGTTCCATCATCTGGAATCACTGAAAATAGCGGTTACTACAGGTTCAGAAGTTTCAAAAGTGGTTATTTATGTATGTTTACTTATGTTTTTATAGTCTTGCCATTATTTATCTTGTGTTTACTGTGTGTAATCTGATTGCACCTCCTATAATCAGCGTACTCGGTGCAAAATGGGCGCAGGTGGGTACAATTTTAGTGCATCGAAGCTGCTCATTGTTAATTTGGTCCTTGTTCAGGTTCTAGGAGCTGCTTGTTACACCTCCTTTATGGTAGTGTTTCTGGTCGTCAACTCATGGCTGCTGTATATCTTCTCCGCTGTATTGGGCTTCGGTGCTGCAGGTATTGCGCTCCTTAAACCTTTGCCTGGCTTTTCACTTCTGTTTTTAGTGATCTGGACTGCAAATGGTGCGTACTTGGTACAGTTTTCCCGTAATGGTAAAATGGGCAGGAATAGTGGAATCTTGTGGGCGATGCTTCAGACATCACTCGTTGCTGGAGCAATTTTCCTTTTCTTCGTGCTCAGCTATGGGTAATCCTTCACAAATATGATTTTTTTATCGCCATTTTACTGAGTTTTGAACCCAACTTTCAACTCTGCAGTGATCTTTACTCCTCATATCGTCTCCTCTACACTGCGTTTGCAATCGTTTCGTCTATGGGAATATTAACATTGTGCCTTCTTCCATCTTCTCCACCACCGAACTGTAAGTTTTGTGTGAATGTCAGAAAGTTTGAAATGCATGCCGCGTGTGGTGAGACCTCTGACATTTTCCATTTTTTGTTATCGCTTTTGTAGCAGACGAAGGTCTGGAAGATCCGCTCTTTGATGACAATACTGGAGAGTTGGATGTTGTTTCAGCGCCTGTTGCACCTCAGGTACCAAGAAACTGGCAGGAAGAGTTTAGTAGGTGTTCTCAAGTCATCCTTTTAATACTACATGTCTTGCATTTTTCCTCAGAGCACACTTTTTCTCTACTACGTACCAGAGACATGATGCTATTGTCGGTTTGCTTTCTGTACAGTGGTATCGAGATCACATATTATAGCGGTAAGTCGCCATTTTCAAAGTGAGAGAAAGTTTCAAACAAATCTGCGTGGTTGTATGTTTGCCGCGAAGAATTGTTTAGAAAAAAGCATTTTGTAAGTTAAGAATGAGTTACAATTTTACATCAATGTGTACGCCCTATATAGCGTCCACAATTCGTAAATACTAAGCTAGTACGGCGATACGACTGAGTTTTTGGAAGATTGTTTCTTTTTATGTCTATCTTGTGTCGGTTTGTCTATGTTCATGATAGCGCTGACTTACCTCCAAAGTCGGTTATCACCAAGTGTTTCAGGAGTTTAAACAGCTTGCCTTTCTGCTTCAATGGCTTTGAATAAAGGCTCTGAAAGGATCATCTCTTATGCAGTTTTAGCTATGGGCGCTGGACAGATTACAGGTAAACTTTGTTTACTTCGGTTCTTTTCATATTTTGTCAGTGTCATTGTAATTTTCTTTAGGCGGGCTTTGCTTTGGTGTCTTTCCCAGAAGTAATTCACTGAACCGATCTCAAATTGTCATTCTTGGCATGATCCTACATATCCTAGCATTCTTCCTCAGTTTTCTTAATTTGCCTATGGAAGCTCCGCTACATAAAACTTCCTCTGTCGGGTACATTGATCCAAGGTTTGTCACGTCTGTCTCAGTTTTGCAGTTTCGTTGCAAGTGCTACTTTGCTTTTTTTAAGATATTCTCTTTGTTTCTTTGTGTATTTAACGACCTGATACCTTCCTGTTTACAGCATTTTCATCGCTATTGTGACCGCATATTTCCTCGGACTGGGTGATTCATGCTGGAATACCCAGATATACACTCTCATCGGGGCCATGTACAAGGACGAGTCATCTTGCGCTTTTGCTCTGTTCAAATTCTTCCAGGTATCTTACTTTTGAACCTTTTTGGATTCTGAGAATGCTGTTAAATGCTTGACCTTAGCGGAAACTTTTACAGTCTCTTGCTGCTTGCACATCATTCTACTACAGTTCCGTTCTTCTTCTGCATTGGCAGTTGTTGGCGCTCTGTATAGGTTCCGCAATCGCGGCCGTGTGCTTCTTTTCAGTCGCAAATAAGCTGGAAACTCCTGAAGTTATCGAGTGATCTTCATGTACACATGCATTCAAGTATAATCAAGCTGGTCTTGTTAATCCAAAGTTTGTAAATCATTGTTTTCTTAAAGAAGCAACTTTCTTTCAAATAAGTTAATAATGATGTAGCATATTAAATTATCGGCGCATGCGCAAATCTGCCTTACAGTTGTGTTGTGTTAAGTGAAAACGGCGTTCTTATTCGCTTATGGGTTTTCGCTAAGTATGAATAGCTTTTGTAAAATTTATTGTTGTTGTTGTTCTGCTACATCAATGTTGTATCCCAGTGATGAAATAAATGTCGTACAATGCTTTGACATTCATTTTCACTAGGTCTCAGAGGTGACTGGACGTGCTGAAAGTCATTTGTGCGAACATGGCTAGATCTTTATACAGTCTAGATTTCCCTCTGCATTTGTCGTGATGATGTAATGCTCAATGGATAAATCTGCTTTATTCATTAAGGACTAGAAATCTAAGTGGTGATTGTACACTGATTTTCTTCTACCCATAGGGTGGTGAACGATTTCGATCTGAAATTTTATTTATGAAGTTAACCTGCTCGAGGACAAAATCTCACTCACTTTGACTCGGGAAGGGGTTTTCTCATTGTCATAAGGTTTGCTGCATATCTCTTCGGCTGAGGTGGAAGAACTGTGTGTATCTTCAAGCGGAGGAGATTTTCTGAAATATGTTCAACATAAGCATCTTTATCGGAGTCACGTCGTCCATTTACACACCGAGCTGTGATTACAATTTCTTCCTCTGATCCATTAGAGCTTGTATCGGTTATTCCAAGCAGATTCTCAAGATAATAGGATTTGTGCCTCTAAATAAACAGATTTTGAGGAATTGAAGAGTGACGACTTTCAATTATTCGGATAGCAAAATAAAATACCTGGTCGTTAAATACACCCCAAACGCTTTTGAACAAGTAGATAAATATTTCTAGTAAAGTAACACAACTCATACCCAGGAACAAACCCATACTTCCCGCGACGTAACCTGAATTGCGTGGACTCAGTGGAAGTTTTCGGCTAAACAGTTTGTACGGAAGATTGTAACATACTGAGGAGATCCACTGGTTTGATTCGCTTTAGCTGTTCTTCCACATATACATGACGTGACTGCATTTGTACTTCAATGGTTGACACGTTCCTGTATGAAGTCATCACTAACCAACGGTCGAGTAGATTCACCGGTGAATTTAGTGCCCTCACGGTGACGAGAAACTGCGGTAAAATATGCGCGTGAACAAATTGCTACGCCTCTAATGCCGGCATCTTGCCCGCGCGAATCACCACATTATTGGCGTAGCTATTTTTTCACGCGCAAATTTCAAGCGTTTTCTTGGCACCGCAACGGCACTATAATCACCGACGAATATGCTCGACTAACTAGATACGATTATGAATGCAAAGAAGATGTTAGGTATGATAATTCCAAGTATTCATGAAGATAAGGTGAAGCCACTAATCTTCAACAAAATCCTTGTCAAACGAATGGCTTACCTCTGTCTTTTCTTCACGTAAGATAATGCTGCATATTCATAGTCCATCCCTTCACATTCTAAAGGGCAGTGACATCTTTCCACAAAAGTTTTCTCTAAAAATTCTTTCTCATTACATAATTTGATCTCTCATTCAGTACGCTAACCTTTCCCTCGATACAAAGCCGTTTCCATCAAAGTACACGGCCTTTTTGTCTTATGATTTGCAAAAAATGGGGAACATTCACACCTGCAACATTCGAGTAATAATTTAACCAAAAAATCCCCAACGTAGTTTTTTTAAGACATGACATAATGTGAATCAAAAATCAATTATTACTGTTGCTCGTAATGCTTGGCAGCGCAGTCTAATTCGCAGCCATTTCTGTTATAGTCAGAGGAAGCATGAACAGCTGTGTCCCTCATACAATTTCCCCAATCTCCAATTTTGAGATGAATTTTCTGTAAAAAATGTAACTCAGAAAATCCAAGATAGAATCTTGGTGAAATTAACCTAAAACCTTTTTGGGTTGCACGACCAGCTTAGCTATTTGTCCCCGACGTAAGTGGAGCCCATTGGAACTGGCAGGTTTGGAATTAGCCGGGTGCACGAAAAACATCAGTGATTCTGATAGTGTTTATACGAATACTGCAGAGTTTTATTTGGTAGAGTCTTACCATCGGGTTCACTAACCACATCTATGCGAAACGACAGCAGGGTGGAAGAGATTGGCTTCCATTTGTAAGTGCTACAGTATCCACTTGGGGTTACTATACGTTGGGTTTCTTGACAATGCCCTGCTGAGCAAGCCATCTTGCTTTTAGGCCTGTAACTTACTCCGCTTGACTTTGAGAAAATTGTATTGCTTCATTGAGAATATACCTGACCTGTTCTGCAGTAGGAAATTTTCCAGGTTGAACTTCTTTTTTGTTGTTTCAAAGAAAATGTTTTCGAGAAGAGCGAGGTTTTTGATGTCATCTTCGTTCATCACACCACCAGCTAGCACAGCATTGAAAGAGTATAGTAGACCTTTGTGCTTCCATATCTCTTCAAATCTTCTGATAAACTTGATTTTGTCTATCAGAAAGGTCATTGCACCTGGATAGTTCATCCACTGACGTGCGCCGAACGATCTGCATACTGTAATTTTGGGCAGGTATTTATCGCTAAGCAGCATATTTGTGGTTTTGATAAATGTTGGGTGTGAATGGTAGAAAAGAAGCATCAGAGCACTCTGGAACTTATATGTGGTGTGTATACCTTACAACAGTCTTAAAAAAGAGTATATATACGTAAACATAAGCTCACATGTATCATGAAAAGTGTCAAACATGTTACAACTACCATGGACCAAAATATTCGTGAAGGCCATGTTGTCGATGTGTAGATCCGTATCTACTTATGTGAGAATGAGACAAATTCACTTTTTTCTAAACAAAAAAAATCTTACCATTCCGTGGTAGGTGGTAAGCGAAGTGAATTCTTTTGACTCGTCATCATAAACATGAAGAATAATTCGCTGCTCGATATCCTCATATGAATTTGTAGATAAGCTCTCAGTAGAATCATATCGTTCCTCCATACTACTATTCTTCAGTGGAGGCTCAAGTAAATTATACTAGAGAAGAAAAAGCGCTCTTGCAACCATCATTTTTACCCTATTTCATAGATCGAAAAGAAACACCGCAATCGGAGGAGAATAGTAAACGTAACGAACTTATAGACAGGCTTATCAAGTTACTTATCAGCGATTTTACACGCATGCTGCGCATTATCACAGCATCCATTTAGACAGTCGCTTAGGAAAATCTGAATTTTCCAGTTATTTAAATTAGTGCAACGCCAATTCATATACTAGTGCACAGTACACCTTTTCTTGATGCTTGCTATTGAAAGCGACTGAGAGATTGATTTGTTTCATAATCGAGGGAACTAAAGAAATTCACATACCTTCTAGGTAAGCATTCGTTTGCTAATCGGCTGACCCCGTAACTCCCTAGAAGATTGCCAGGGATAGGCGAAAACCGAAAAAAAAGATGACTGATTTCTCGCACCCCGTTTGCAGATTGCTAGAAAAACAGTTGGCATTTTCATGCGCTTGTTGATTCCTTTCCCGAAACAGTAATCTATTTGCGAAAAATTGACAAAGGGGTCAAGCGGTCTTTTAAGAAACGGTGAACAGTTTTCTAAAAATCTGCAAGCGGAGTGCGACGATTTATAAACACGCTTTTTTCGGTGCTCGCCTATCCTCGTCGATTTTGTGGAAGTCCGCACGCATTCAACAGCCTCTTCCATGAAGCAGAATGCTTGCGCTTGCCTTTAAACAATGTTCCGACAAAAATTTGCTCTCCAGTTTTTCACCTTTTGGAGCGTTCGCCATGCTGTACTCATATCTGGGCTCTATAGCGCATAAATGTAGCTAAAATGGGCTTTTTTAAAAAGCTTTCCATATCCAAATTCACTGAAAAATAGGTGTGTCGGGGTCCGCAAAAAGGGATCGGGGTCCGGAAAAGTTTGAGAGTGATCAGGCTCCACAATCGTTTCGCTCCAGATTTTTCTGCTGTTTTGGGAGGTCAGAAATTGCAACGGTGTGAAATCCCAGCGGCCATCATTTTGCCGGGACGCGGCCTTCAAAGTGTAAAGATGCTGCTCCTTTGTGCTTCATCGCCTATTCCGTTGAATGGTTATTGACTTTTCAAACTTACTACTATGTTGACTTTGTAGCCCCTCTGTGCTCAGATGGTCAGCTACATTGATCCTTATAGCGTGTATTATTCAAATCCAACAGTGCGTAATCACTTGATTTATCGTTTTTGGCAGTAACTCAGAATGCCATCCTTCTATATGTATAAATTCGAGCAAACAAATCATCAACTTCACAGGTATCAAAATTCTCGGACTATAATATCATAATTCTAGCACTGTCCAAATTACGCGCAAGTATGAAATTTCATCGCTGCTCTTCACTGGGATATATCGAACAGTCGATATAGAGGGCAAAAAATTCTCAAGTCAGGTTAGTTACACTTACCAACAAAGGTACAATCCTCCTCTTTCAGTAATTGCTTTGTGTAACTACACAAGGCTTGATATCTGCAATGTTGCAGGCCTGAGGCAAGATACTTCTATGATCAGAGACAAGTACGAAAGTCGATTCTTCGGAAGAGCTGGGACTCCTCAGAAATGGTCCCCAGCGGTTACTCTCAGAAAAAGAGAAGAGGGGAAAATAGGCGTCCCTGATGGCCTCATTCAAATAAACAATGACCAATCCTTAGCTAGCCCATGCCAGATCTCCGGAATAGTTTTAAACTGGCCACTTCCAGTGAGATGTTTGACTCTTCATTTTTTTGTATGAGAAATTACACAGGTACACTTACTCCACTTGAATTAGAGAACATTTATCTCACTTTACTTTGAGTGTACAGAACATCAAACATGGCGGCAGTATGCCTGTTATATCGTAAGCAGTACAACTTGACTAGAATGAAAACAATTGATAATGACCAATGATCTAAAATTTTCTACCGGTATAACTAACACTATAAAACTCTTAAAAAACATCAACGTCCAGACGATAGTTGGGACATGTACAAGATCTTCATAAAAATTTTCTAAGGCTTTTCGATAAAGCATCGTGATTAAAACCTCTCATTACAGCATATAAACATTTTCGAGATAATGTGAACACAATGACATGAGTACAGAAACACTGAGAAATTTAACTCGCATACATGGGGATTTTCTCACCTTCATAATGAATCACGAGGATATGTTAGATAGAACATGTAACAATAATAGCTATGTTTAGAAAATCTGTATATCAACGATAAAGAAAAAGAGTTGTAGAATAAAATCACGTGGAGCATTTTGTTGAGTTGGATTAAAATGTGAAAAAACGTCAAGCGAACAACTTGCACTGAACACATCAAACATAATTTTACCTGTGCTGGGTGATTACTAAACCTGAATAGAACTGCCGATTCAAAACCGACATGATGACTATGAGAATTCGAGCGCAAAAGCTTTATGGCGGTCACCGCCCAACGAAGTAGACATCCTCGGGAAGTGACAGAAGCTCAGGTTAACGAAAAATGTGCGCTCTAACGACATTTGAAGCAGTAGGGAACTTCTTGATCTTGTTTTCAGTAGATGATCGACATGATGGAAGGACGATCTACATCGTATCTATTCGTACTGCCCTATTTTCCACCAGAGAAACGGGTCCCACAATGTCGTGCTTCTCATATCCATCTCATTAACAACACACTATACGGAACTCTGACTTGAGTCACCTGAGGCAGGTCCACAAAACCCGGATGAGAAACTCGGTCGACGCGATTTTGACTTAGCATGGACCTGAAACACAAACACGATTTATTAAACAGAGTAGATAATTAGTCCCGTAAATAGCAGACGATACAGTACCGCTGCGGCGGCGACAATTTTGCGCGGAAAAAGATGGCCATAGAGCGCACATTCTCAAGTTTTGCGTTCCATGGCTATCTACGCGCAAATATTATCGGCAAGACGGGACCACTATACGTCAAATTCGGCTTCAGACTGGTAATTACGCGAAGATATTCGACAAGAGAAATAACAACATAATCACTTTGGCTCACCTTAGTATGTCTTTTACGCTCATCACTCCGTGCAAATTTACGTCCACAAACGTCACATGAAAATGGCTTTTCACCCGTATGCGTCCGAACATGAGTTGTCAAATGATCCGATCTCGAAAACGCTCGCAAACAAATTCGACACTGAAACGATTTCACGATAACCACGGAATGAGTTAATAGATAATTATCCCCACCTGGAATGGTTTTTGCCCGGTATGGATTCGTATGTGTCGAGTTAGCTCATCGCTTCGAGAAAACCGCCGATCACAATCGTCTCGCGGACATTTGTATGGTCGTTCATGGATGGGAATTTTCACATTTCGTTGAGAATATTTACGCATCGCATCACCTTCCATCTACAAGGACGATTTCACATTAAATATAACGGAAAAAGAGAAAAAAAAAAACTTTGAATGTGTGCGATATCTACTCACCTTGACGTCACCCGAAGTGGACTGATACTCGAAAACATTGAATTCGCCATCTGCAAAAAGGAGAAAAAATAGAAACGTGTAATCTCAGTAACTAGTTATATTATTAAGCGAAAAGGGGCTTATAATATGGCTCATTTTCAAATTAGGTAAGTCCACGAAGACCGCCTGTAGAAAAAGATGAGGTGAGCAACGAAGCGTAGTGTAATTATTGCCCGATGAAGCGATGCGTTTCACTATCGCTAACGAATAAAAGTGCCAGACAAAGCAATTTCATCAGTGAGAGCATTTAGAAGGGGAGTGAGGAGCCTTTAGACAATTAGTTACGTGCATTGAGTTTTTCACAATTCGCATTTATAGGCTAAAATTATATCGAAAACAGTAGAGATGCCTAGCTCTAATGAGAAAAGATCCAAAAAAGTATCCATTGCTTAACAGTAACGACTTTTTCCTTCAGTGTTCTTTATGAGCGCCCACCAATAACATATTGAACAACTGGCTTTAGCTTCGAAATGGAGTAATAAATCAGTGAGCTACCATTTGTGTAGAGTCAAAATGAAACGTCGGCGTGATTGTGCAATCTGATTTTATTAAAGCGCTGAAACAGCTACAAGTTCTGCGTAGAGATTTTGTACTAGTACTAATGATGTCGATACAATAATTGAATTATTGCAACACAAACTTTCCAAATGTTCTGAAAAATCTATTTATATCTTTTAGGATGCTTCACTGTACGAAATGCAGTTTATTATCGAAGATGACAAGATAGAATTTCTGAAATGATAAAGATTTGAATGACGTAAACAGAATATATCGTACTCCCACAAATTTTACTCATCTATGATCCCCGTCCATCATTTCGGTGATCGGCGCCAGCGAAAGTCATTCAAAAAAAGTTATTGACTGCTAATTAGTAGATACATTCTTGGGATACTCTGCGATTAGTTTGTTGCGGGTAACTTCGTAAAACATTAAACGGGGAACGAGATTACTAAGAATTGTACAGCCTTCTCAACTAGCACATCGCTCGCTAATTTTCAGAAGATCATTAATGGATTTAAACAAAGTAAAGGCGTCTGTTGATCTCGAACTATCTCGAGAAAGCAAAAAAGCAAATCAAAAAAAAGCAAAAAAAAAAGCAAAAAAGCAAAGCAAAAAATTTTTTTTGCTGTATGCAGATCCTCGCCGATTTCTCCAAAGCGATAGAAAAAATCCGCCCCCCCCCCCCTCCCTCCCTCTGACCACAAACTGGTCCTCGTAAAGAGCATAAGACTAGAGCCGGAATCGCACCGCCCGTCATTTATAATGAAAAAGTTTTTCTTATGCCAGAACTATCTCGGTCTCAACAAATAGTTACCCATAATTACTTTTCTAGGCGAAAAGATTTGTAAGAAATAAACAAAGTGGTGAGACGATAACCGTAGAAGTGCTTGCTATAGATGACCATATATAAGAAATGAGCTTCCCAGCGTCAAAACATCACCCGATTCTAAAAGAGTTAGATGCTAAAACTAATTCACTTGGCGTTGACGGTGCTGACTCGTTGAAGCCTACTCCAGCATTTCAAAAAAAAATAACAATTGTCCCCAGACAGAAAAATTTTGACAGTATGTCCTAGCACTCTACCCACCATCCCGTGTGTTTTGTAGGAAGTAGTGGAACCTTGAATGATTTTCTTCTAAGAAAAAGTTAGATAGAAGTATAAAAATTGCCTGATAGTGCAGAAAATGCAGTTTTTTGACAAGTGGTGAAGGCAAGGTAGATTCTTCAAAATAAACTTACTTGCAGGATCATACCGCATGTGATCGCCAAACCCGTAAGGATAATCGTCAACTGGTTCGACCTTGGGTTCAAAACCAAAATCTTTGCCCTCACTTCTAAAAATCAGGAAGATAGTTCAAGCGAGGACGATGGTGAAACAACTTACGGATATCGCTCTTCACCATTTGCTTCACCATTAAACTGTCCTTCCGGAAAAGACGTAGGAGGCGGTTGGGAGACAGGAGGAGGGTGCGCCGGAGCAGTATGAGCAGTGGAAGCGACATCGAGCTGCTAAAACTTTGATTTAGCACGAGAATTCGTATTAAAATGCTTTGATTACAACATTGATCTAGGTCAAACGAGACAAAAAAATAGCAAAGCTCACTTGGAATTTGACAGGAACCGGCGGCGGTTGGAGCGGTTTTATACCGGCAGCGACGCCATTCCGTTGCACCGGCTCAATTTGAGTCAGCTCTTTGTCTTCTTTCTTCATTTCGGTTGGTATACGAACAACTTTAAGCAGATCTGGTGCTTCACTATTGGCTCCGGGTGTTTTTGCGTCCACTACGGTCAGTTCCGGAAGTCCGCTTCCACCCTAAAGGGATGAGAGCTCAGAAATTTTACGTAAGCTTTCTCCTGGACTATCATTGCTCAGTGCCCGATTTATTCGATGAACATGTCCTCAACAATTTCACCAGCCTTCAGAAAAATCTTATCCTCATATAAGCTCAAGCAGTTCAAACCATTCGCAATGCCCCTCACTAACAGCATGTTCTATGCATCGAGCCCCAAGAAAGTCCACTTCCGGCGAAATACTCAAAAAAGGTTTGGCATTTGCCAGCAAAGCAATTGCGCCTATTGAGGGTGGCAATTGTGCTACCTCGATACAACGACCACTAATATTGAGCAATATTTAAGTGGAAGCAGTAAGGAGAATGCACTTGCTAGTGAAAACTTCTTAGAAGCCGTAATTTCGATAATTTTTTCTATGGCAGCCACCGAAAAAAAGAGAAATTGCTTAGTGAAACCTAATGCTAAGTCAGCGATAAAGCGAGATGCGATAAATCTAGAATTTTCAAATTTGCCCACCTTTGACAGAGATTGCAGGAAATGTTCAACCATAGGAGAGAATTGGAACATTGACGCTGACAATCCTGAAACAGGACCTATTGCTCAACTTATCTTAACTATGAATTATTGAAAGCTACCTGGTGAACTGACACCTGATGAAAGGTTCACTGGTAAACTTGTTGTGATGGATCCCTTGAACTGTATGGTAGTCTTCTCATTTTTTGGTGCTTCACCATTTTGAGACGATGATGCTGGAATTGTTGTGTGAAATTCGTTCGCAGAATCTCAATGAGTTTCAAAATTATCATACCTGCCCCATTCGAAAGACTTGGTCCAGTTGTTGTTTGCGAAATGGATTGTATTTCGATGTTCCCTATAAAAAACAAGATTTATTGACTATTGAGTCATCTATAAATCTGGTGAAAATAAAAATACTCAAGTGACCCTTTCTTCAAAATCCACGTACAATTCGATGTTTGTAAAGCTTACTTTTGACTAACAAGACAATTATCCCGAATTCAAAGTAATGCAAAACAACTCTTACGTCTAGCTTTTTAGTGAGCAGAGATTCATTAACAAACTAATAAGAAAAGATAAACAATATTAACTCGTCGCTTTGATTTGATTTATCAATATTTGGTTGATTATTTGATTGATAACTAGAAAATGCGCAATTATAGTAAAATTACCTGTGAGGAGAGGCTCATGATCCCCGAAAAAAGCTTGGTTGTTCTGAGGTGTGAAACCGTTAAAATGATGAATGCGAGGTGTTCCATCTATGGACAATGGCGCAGACTTTGTCGGAGATCCTAAGATGGTGGGTGTCTGGAAAGTATGGATGTATATTCATCGTTCTTCATCAAAAGCTTTTGTTTTCATTTCACATGACTTGCTTATTTGTGAAGACGTCATCAAAACAATTCCTCAAATGGAATTCTGAACGCGAATGGCACGATTAAAATTCTATGACGTTCCCGGATTCAGAACACACTCCCGATAATGCATGATTTTCTTCTTGGCTCTTAGAACTTCACCCAATTTTTTTGATGAAGAAAAAAACACACACACCTACTACTTTTATAAGTTACAGAAAAGTCTGCTTCTTTCACTTCCCCTTTGCAGATGCGGAACATCAACAAATTGCAAATCAAACTTTAGACGGAAGCGTCACTAGAGTAATCACAGAGATTAGTTTGCTGTCCAGACTTTCAATCAGGATAATTGAGAGAAAGACTGAATTAGTGGAGATTTGCAGAGCTCATAATAAGCAGTTGTTAGCTCAATACATATATTCAGAAACCCTTCTATATACTAACTGCAAACATCAATGGTGTCGCCATTTTTTTTGGAGAGGAGGATAGAATGCCTAATATATGCTGAGTACGGGAATTTCCTAAAACTTCAAAGAAGCAGGAAACCCTGCCTTTCAGTTAGGGCATTCTAAATGCTATAGGGAAGCTTGCTGACAAGGGGAGGAACCGAGTCGAGATCGGCTTCTTATATGATATTATACCAATCTGAAGAGCGTCAAACGCTGATTCCAAAACTGTCTTTGTTATTTGCTAAGCGCCTCTAGACGCTAAGCTATGATTGTTTTTGGCTCAAAATTTGAACGCGCAACTGGTCCAGCGTTGGATATCAGAGTATGCATGAAAAATCTTCAACTAGAACACTTGTACTCAACACTTCTATATTTGAGCACTTAAAAGGTTACCATTAATGTTGCCCAGATTTTGCTATCATTTTCGCCCTAAAAACACCCATAGCGCAGCATCTAGAGCTCGGCAAAAAAACAAAAACAAAAAAAAACAAAACAAAAACAGTTTTGGCATCAGCGTTTGATGCTCTTAAGATTGGTGTATATTTCATTCGAAAAGCCGATTTCGGCTTTGGGTCTTCCCTAGTAAGAAGCAGATGCTGGGATTCACCTAGTCACGTGTATGAAGAAAAAGAACCAAGTGACTAAAGTGATTACACTAACCTTCAACATGTCACTCATAGTAGGTGTCTTGAGGCAATCATGGTCAGACAGTGTAAGCAACGGCTTTGTGCTAGCCGCTGGCTTCAGGAGCCCCGGCCCCGACCGGGACAACTTCGATCCCGGCACTTGCAGAGCCATGCAAAGGGCACTGTCACCTGCAAAACTGTGCTTAAAAAATCATGTGAGTGTCAGAGCTTCTACATATAAATCAGAAACGTAAAAACATGGCGAAATCTGTGTGAAATCGAGTACAACAGCTGGGCAAAGTACTTTGACGACATTGAAAATGCGGTCGATACGAGCCCAATAACCTCATGCGTGGATACATAAATGAAAGCTGTAAGAGCAGCTGGAAGGAGACCGTGACTGAGCTGAGCTGAACAGATCTTCGCTTGAGAGCGTATTAGAGTTCGCACGTATCAGTAGGAGGATCAAACACATGTCATCCGTGTTCATTACGCAAACTGTGCTCGTGATCGCTCGTGAATCTAGCTTATCTTATCGCAATTCCATCGGCTAATTAATATGCGCGAGCTGAAGTGATAAAATAGACGGAAATAGGACGAAAATTTAGCAGACAGACACGGTTTAGCGTGAAAGAGCTCTGCTATGCAGAGCGAGAGCCTGTTGCGAGTTGAGAAGGCCATCCGGCCGCAGAAAGTATGAAACATTGATGGATGTGCTAATGGACGGCGTCATGGCATAATCGAGATGACGGCGTCATGAATCACACTTTAGACGACGTTCATTGTCGGTAGCGAAAATGTCACGACGTTCAGAATCATGGCCCAAAACATATTTAGAAAGTGGCCCTGAATTTCCAAGACTCTCCGAAAATTTCCGTCGGAAAAAAATTGATAGTACCACGATAAACAACTAATGAACCAGGGTTGGGCACAGGTAACTCATAAGCAAGCTGGATATCGTTTTTGGGAGCGAAGAGCAAAGTAGACCACTCAAAACTAGGTTATTTTTTCTAGTCGACGTTTCGTTTCTTAGGGCTTTTTACGTTTATGGTTTATGGTCAAAGGAGATTTCGTAAAATTTAGAAAAAGTCAAGGAGGACGTTTTTTTGCATTTTCGGAAAGCCATCTCGTGCCCAGCCCTGCTAACAGACAGTAATCATGAGTGAATATCATCAGTAACATCATTATCTGCAGCAAGTGATGTTTCCACTCACATGGATTTCTATTCTACCTTTTTCTCTCACACTAGCGTATAGTTTGGTCCTTCACAGAAACAACAAAGCCCGATCGTTCTGTACATTACCATACTACTCATATACATAAAATGAAACAGGAAATTCTTGTGCAATTTCACTGCATTTTAACAGATTAAAGTGGGCTTGGCTGGCTTGTAATTTTCGACAAGTAAAAAAGGTACATCGCATATGAAGATATGGCCACAAATATATATAAGTAAGCCATGATGATGCTTCATCACAGCTGGTTCGTGAAAAAATTACTTTTCTTTTCTGGTCAAACACGAAAAGAAATTTCTCCGACCTTAGCAATACACATGCCATCCAAAGAAAATGAGTGATGGCTAGGTGGGACTCTAAGCTAAGTGCAACCAAGAGGTGAACGAACTTATTTTATTGTTCTAACAAAGAAATTATACAAAAAGTGGTTCAGAAAATCGACTAGACTTGAAGAGCCTAAGTAATCAATCAACGCTAGAATGTAGCGAGGTACTTTACTAGTAAAAAAACCAAAGATGCGATTTATGTTACTTTGCCATTGATACAAGAAACACATTCATTGAAGTTGTGCCCAGGTAGATCTGAGATGACAGCATCTCGAAAACAATGAATTTGAAGCATCAATATGCAACAAAGATATGTGAAAAACAATATGGGCGCAAGCAGAAAATACGAAAAAAAGCCGCTTTTACCCTAGTAAAAATAAAATTTCGCTATCGTTGACGAGATGGTGTGAGATGAGTTGAAGTATACAAAATTATAACACTTTCAAAACAGGTACAGCTGAAGTCACAGCTATTTTGAATCGATTCGAGTACTAAGTTGGGTATTGAGTAAATTTACGGATTTTTTTCCTCAACTCAGCTGTCGTAAAACATGAAAGGACATGGTATGATTTAGAAGCATGGATAGAGAAAAATGGTACGAACAGAGAATCCAACACTGTGATTTGCAAAAAAATATTTCGCGAATTCATGATTTTACAACATGCAAACGAAGGTTTCGAAAAAGTGGCGAATAATAAATTTCTCGCTCGCAGTACCACATTTTGAACTCCACAGTAAGCATGCTAGCAGTTGATATCTAACCACTTTTTATTTGAATGACTTCGAATGAAAGCGCAATGGTAGAACAGAACTGAAAAACGAATTTGGTCCCACACAAAATGAATATCACAGTGAAGTTGCCTTTCTTGGGGGGATGATATCAAAGCAAGGAAAACGTATAGATAACATCACAGAAATTCCTTTCATATTTTTCACTAGTAATTCAGCTCAGAAATAAACATAGCCAGACACGATAATTGTGATGTTATTGGATATATTTGTTGCCGATAATATATTGAGCAGAAAGAAAGAAGATGCGGCAGTGAGATATCTCGAAAATTCGATAGATCGATGTTGCAGGTCAAATACTGTAAATGAAGATTCGAAGTGTTGTTGTTGCTTTTTTAAAGGGTAAACAAGAAAAACTAAAAAAGTACTTGTCTTGTTTAAGAATTCATCAGAAATTCATTTGCGGAGAAATACTTAAAGAAACACATGCAAGGCCAAATAACTGCATTCGATCTAAATCTCAAGAGATTAAGGAACAAAAAGTTCAATCTCAACAACACTGCTCATAGTGTTAGCAACATCGAAAAGCGTTTCCGAAAACAAACGGCTCAGTCGATATTGGGCCGCTGTGAGGAGCGGAGAGGCAAAGACACATAAGCAATTACTCAGTACGTAAGAAGGTTAAGTAAAAAAAAAACGAGTGAGAAATGAAGCTTATGCAAGTGATGAAGGCAATACATTGCAATGTGGTCGATGACACGTGCGAATAAAAGATGAGCCCGAACGCAATTCAAATGTAAATTTTCAGCAAGTGTAAAACGCTTCGGTAAAGTGCGGAAGTTGGTATGATATGTGATGCGTCGGGGATTGTACTTATGGACAAAGCCGGGCGGACGGGGAGAGTGTGAAAAAAATAATGGGAAAGAGCCTGTGCTAGTGGGTTTGAGTATGAGGAAGTCATGCAGTGAGATTTGAGCAGATTTAAACAGGGCGAAGACGAGAATTGGACGTCAAAAGGAGAAGCTGATGGCGAAGGAAGTCGTGGCTGCCGTCGCGTCCACGCGGGTCGCGCTCGCGTCGCACAGTCGCTGCCGGGGCTCTCGCGTAGCGCGGCGAATTCAGGAACCGACTACAAAGTTTCGCCAGAGTCAATACCCGCTTGGCGCACGTGAACTCTCGTTCCACAGCACCCTCTTCACTTGCTCTCCACTCTCTTCGCCGTTCCTCTGCCGTTCTCTCGCGCTCTCTGCCGGGGCAGACACGGGCGCGGCGCGGCCGCAGCGCGCGCAAATTGCCTACGGTACAACGACGACGGCAGCACTGACACCGCACATTGCCAGCATCGATCATTGCCAGCTGGGCTTTTCCGATTAGCAACAGCGAAGCTGATCAGCATGCGAATCGTGTGTGTATGTGTGTGTGTGTTAGGGTCCACACCGTCCGAGGACGGAAAGAGTGCACATTGGTTAGCCACAGAGCACTTGATCTGTGAAAGGGGAGCAGATGATGATTATGCGAGAAAGTACAGGTGCCGGACTGTTGGACTTTCATTAACATGAGCCATTTAGTGAAATAGCCATGAAAGCAAGTGTTAGTTCAAAAAGTTGGGTAAAATAGAAGATATGCCAATCACGTGGGGTTCTCCCCAATTGTTGTACTACCCTTGAAGTCCAAAATATTGCTCATTTTGCAGAATCAAAAAAATGCTAATGCTCATAATAACTCCATTTTTTTCTAGCAAGAACTAGCTGGATAAAACTAACAAAGTGCGCTTTTCACTCAGCTGATTTTGTAGTAAATAAACCTCTTTTTTGTTCGCTCTCTTAGAGACTGAGAGAGTGAGAGCGAGTGACAGTGGAGTCTTTTTAGATTTAACTCGGAGTACTCTACTGCGAATAGGGCCGCATGAAGTGTTTGTCGGAGCATATGAGTCAAATAGGGTAGTCATAAAAAACAAGTAAAAAGGTTCGCATTCAACCGCAGTAGAAATGCTCGTATGCACTGAAATTTTTCGGGGATTCGGAAAATCTACAAATTATGAAGGACCTTAATATTGTGATTTTTTGCATTCTACTGGTCACAACATATGGCTGTGAATCTTAGAAAGCAGTGAACCGAATGAGTCCAAAGTAGCGCTCCATATGAACCTCATCTAATCCTAAATCCCTTTGCTCTGTCGATACAAACCTTTTTGCAATCCTCTCTTTATATTTAGCATCCTCAAATCACTCTTTTTCTATAGGAGTTGACATAAACCTCTAATGAGGTGACGTAAATCGAATAGATTTCAGTTATAAAACATCGACTACACTCTTAGAAAGGACACATGAAACGTGATTATACAGAAAACTTTGCAAGTGCATGGAATCATTTCACTTACGTTAAAGCTTTTTAGAATGAAGAGACAATTGAGTGTTTGCAAATAACGTCAAATGAATATTTTATGCAGATTTGCTGCAAATTTCTGTTGAAGAATAGATTTTCCACGAGTATTATATCACATATATTTGTTGTGAACGTATGAATGAGAATAATTTACTCAATAAGGGAAGCGCACATGATTAAGCACAATTCGTTGTTGCAAGCTGGGAATTGACTGCTTTGAGACGCAAATAAGAATGGGTTAGCCAGAAGTTTGCTCTATTCATAGTGAGCAGTAGATGAGACAAGTTTGACGTCTCATTTGCAAAATTTGAAATTTTCTTGATTTTAGATTCAGCTCAGACGACTTTGTGATGGGAACTTTTCGAACTAATCATCAATAAATAGCGCAAGTGCTCATCCCATATAATAATGGAAACGATTCGCTTAAAAGCAAAAATAATTTTGATGAAATGTGACAGTAGAACGTGCATATACAGCTACGGAGCAGCTTGACTGAATTATGGGTGTGCATGTGCGGAAATGACGCCATGAGGGCCATATTTTTAACGCAAAACTCGACTAACAGCCGCTCACGACATACAATTGATGACGTTATCAACACCTCTTCGAACATTTGCGGTTTAAATGAAGGAGATTGAATGCTTGGAACAGTCAGAGAACATTAACAATTCGATTTATATGATTTTGAATCCCTCGTATGAGAATTTCTATTCAAAATGAAGAGTTAAAAAATTTTGACAAATCTAAAGCTCAAGTGATCGTTCACCAACTTTTGCCCATCGTTATACTACACCTTGTCAATGCTTAAAACAAAACAAAAGAATAAACATGACGGAAGCAATAACGAACGGGAAATAAGTGATTTGTGCTGGCACATGAGATATCCGACTAATTCTCGTACAAATTTTTTGGTTGAGTGGACAGCATAAAAAATAGAACAAGCTTGGTCCTGTTTGCCACTCGGTGATCTTGAATACTCGTGACTGGATTGCAAGATTGGCGTGCTCGTCCGAATTAAGATTCAGGCTCGAAAATATTAGAATTTGGCGGGTAGATGACAATATTTGAGTCCAAAAAATAACCTTGTGTGCTAACATTTTGACTACGGTAGGTGTACGGTAAGAGGTCAAAATCCCAGAATTCGCTAGGACTTTGTGTAGCGGAATTATTTGATGTGCTAATGACTATTATCATGTACAATCATTGAAGCAAAGCCACACTGCGGAGTTAGAGTAAGCTCCTCGAATAGTCTATACATATTACAACCCCTTCATTATTAAGTAGAGAAAAAAGCGACAGAGTTAGAGTTCAAGGATCATGTGCTCCGATCGGAGGTGCTGCCCAAGACGTTTTTCGACAGCCGCGGAAAACGTTATCGAGTGACTCAGCCATAATGCAAAGCAAATAAAAGTGCCTTATCAGGATGGCAGGGCGAAAACGCGAGACACGCGCAAGAGATGAGCATTTGAGATGGCATCTACTGCAAATCCGATGTTTGCAGTAGCTGCTTGAGATAATCAAACAATTGCAGCATGTGAAAAGTCTATTTTTTTCTGAAGAGTTATCAAAGAGTTGGGGTATTCCTACAGGCTGCACGAAGTCGAGTTCCTGTTTGAATAAGAAGTGCTAGTGCCGCCGGAATCCAAACACAATCGCGTTGAGTAAAGAAGAGTGACGATGCCTATCTCATTACTTCTCTTCTATTTTTCTTTATTCAAAGAAATCGACTGACTGGTTAAGCTGAATGTTCGCTGCAGTGATCCATAGGTTTCAAATAACATGCATGAGTACATTCAACGAGTGAAATCACTATCCCAAGGAATGATTGAGGGAGAAAGCTGAGGTCTGAATCGATATCGGTCCGTGTTGTCGGACGAGTGGGCGCGCCCCCTCGTCCGCTCTCCTCACTCACATTACAGTCATCAAATGAGTTAGAACGAGTGAGACGAGAAGGAGAAATACGTACAGGTTGCGGGGTGTTGTTAAGGCCGAAATCGCTACGGTTATTCGAGTCTCAGCGAGGAAAACGCCTTTCATTGATGCTATTCTATTTCGGCTGACCTTGGCTGCGCCTCTGATGGTCGTTGGAGGGCGAGAACCACTCAAATGCTAACAAGAGGAGGATACTTGGTTGAAGTAGAGTTTCCGTTTAAAAAGTATACCATTTTAGAGGGGTTGAAACGCTGATTTTGAATCTGCTTTCCTTATCTGCAAAGCGCTTCCGGGAGGGGAGTTACGGGAATTTTTGAGGCAAAAATCCAAGGGTCTGATTAAGGTAAAAACAGGTGTTGAGGTCTTTTCGGCAACTGATAGAAGCAATGACTAACGATCTTATCGAACTGAAATTATCAAATGCATAAAACGTCCTGGCGGTCATCACGGTCCCAGAACTTAGAACTTACAGCTACTATTTCTAATGGTTTTATTGGGGATGGTCGTGCATTATTTCGCTTTGAGAAATTCCCATATCCTCCCTCCCAAAAGCGCTTTGAAGGTAAAAGCAGATTTGGAATCAACGTTTCATGCTCTATAAGGCAGTATATATCTCATAAATGCCACTTTGACCAAGTATCCTTCTCTTGTAGGATTGGAGAAGAGTATACCCAGCAGACTTCAACCAACTTACCTCAGCTATTTCAAAGGGCTCAAATCAAGAAAAAAATTCTTTTGTGTGAGTGTTGTTTTTCACCCCTTACCAAGAGCAAAGCTCAGCAATGCTTTGCATAGCCTTGAGCTGCATCCTTGACATATACCCATCGTCAAACAAGGCTAAGATTGGATCGTACAAGCATCGGTGTAAGAGCTATACAAACAGAAATAGCAGCCGTTTTCAAAGTGAGAATCTTTGCTCGAATAGAAATGTTGATGATAACCATATTTATGCGTTCAAAGATAAATTTGCCTTACTTTCAGAACTAAATCTGACCAAGCGATTAATATTTCCCTGGAAAAATGTTCTTAACTGAAAACGCTACAACAACTTTCGCATGAAGTTTGTCACCAAACAATGAACTTAAACTTGGTTTTCTATGAATATATTTAGCACCTATGAGAAGAAGAGAGTTCACGAAAATTGCTAACTGTGTATTTCAATAAATGTAGATGGACTTTCATATTGCTATAGGTAGGACCTTTTCTGCGTTATATACCTACACATTCTTCACTTTGACGTATGGTCCTATTTCAGCTTGAATTGCAGTATGTTGCTATTCTGGAATTTACAGTCGTCATTCATAGAACGTGTTTTGATTTTGAAAGCCAATTCACCCTTCATTTTCTGGATAAACCGACACGTTGCAGAAATAAAGCCAAAATTCTGAGTCAAGCTTGTTTGTACTCGGATTGATTGGGAGTCTATGATTTGTATTCGGATCGACTGGGGCCTTAAGAGATCTATGATGCTTTTTGAATTAAGCCATGATGTGGAGGCGGCGTGACCTTTTTCATATGACATAATTAAGACTATTCATATTAGAACCAAAGCACACCCAGCGCACCCCGAAGTGCTTAGTTGTTGGAAGTCTGTAAAAGTTCGTCTTCCACTCGTTTTCCTTGGCTAATCAAATTCTGTGAAAATTTTCAGCAAATTTAAACTTCAGAGGAATAAGTTGAACAAGTCAATTTCCTCAATAATTTCCCCTGCATTTTCGCAGAAGCAACCAAAATTGGTTCTATATTCTACTGTAATAAATCGTTTGAACATACTCATGCTCGGATGCTGTACGAGCGAACCTGTAGAAATTAAAATAAAGCTCATTCAAAATTGTCTTTGCATCACATGTTGGTGTGGAGGCTTTCATGTGAGGTATTCCCAACTGCTGAAAAAATTTCTGAAAAGCATTTTATTTTTGCAGGAGTTTCCTATTTCAGCCTTTTCAAATATGCAATCCACAAACGACTAATACTGGAGCAAAAGCAAATAAACAACTCATTTTGCAAATGGTACTCACCGCTTGTAAGAAAAGAGCTTAATTTTGAAAATCTGGTAGTAAAATAATGTATTAGCTAACCAAAGTATGCATAGCCAAATTTGAAAGAATAGCGATTGAATCAAATACGATGATTTGTACAGATCATTCGAACGTCAGTCAATGCTTCTTATCACACCTTTTTCATTTTCAGTTTACGAGGTATACGACGTGCTCGTAAAAATGGCCACCCGCTCTTCTAGACTGATTCGCATTACACAGGAAGTGTTCAAAGCTTTTCTACTATGCGAAGAAAGTGGTATTTTGAATGATTTCTTGAGCTATAGAAACAAAATAAACAAACAAACAAACTATAAACGTATTTCACAAGTGTCAGCGTTGTTTCACTGACATCAAATTTATCGAGGAGATACTCTCACTTCCCTCAAAATTAGCGCTCTTACTGCTAAGATTTTTGGATTAGAAGATACAGAAAACATACATACCCCAGTTAAGATTCTACAGATAACTTTTTGAAGTTGCAAGTGTCTGAACAATAAATATTTCTGAAGCTTGAGTAGTATCAAATCAAGATTCTCTTGATTATAAGGCCTATGTTCTGCTGTGCTTCGATGAAAGTGTGTTCTGCTTGTACTAAAAATTAAAAAAGCTTTAGTATTTAGTGTTAATTCTGAAATGCCTAGAGCCTTATATAGGCAAGAAATATTACGCTATAGCAAAGTAAGCAGTCATACCATGAGTTTATAATGAACATGCAAAGATACTGAAATAATTCATTGTATGAGTAGTCCATTCGCAAATGCGACATATTTACATTTGTACTAAAAGGATCAACATTCAAATCGACCTGTTCCAAAAGCATCTGGTTCTGAAACTTTTTGTGATTTGTGAACTTCTAATCAAGAGTTGAAGATTGTCAAAATAACATGCTAAAGAACGATCCACGCAAAATGTGGTTAAAACCAAATTATTCTTTATATGGAAAGAATTCGTAAAATGTTTAGATCACTATCCCTGCTGGGATATCAGACGATAATGACAGTCAATATCGAGTTTGCTGAACACAACACAGTCTTTGATGATATATTCTTATGCATACTTCAGAGAAAATTCTGGTAAATGTACTCATGGTGCTCTTCTGTGAAGATAAAAAAACATACAGAATCAATCAAATAGGCTATCACTGTTGCAATGAATAGGATGAATGAGAGAACAACTGGTAACATAGCGAGTTCATTGAAAAAAAAACTGCTCAACACGTCATGTTCAAACAGAAGTAATCGATACTGATAAGAATCACAATAGAAAACATAGTGCACATGCACAAAATCATCCGCTCAATGTGCTAGTACCTTTAATAATGAAATAAGTACGGAATTAGCACCAAAGCTATGAAATTTGTGTATTAGATCGAGATATGTCGTCTATAGACTTATAACTTATACAATTAGAAAGAAAGTAAAACTCCAAAATGCCCGTAGAATGAGCGAATAATTGTGAAGTTTATGATCAATTTTCGCTAAAGCATTCCTCAGAAAGAAATCGTCCAATTTCCATAAATAAATGGGCTTGTCGAAGGCCCATACTGTGGTCTTGATTACTGTACACCTAAATTAAAGCGGTTTTTATTTGGCCACAATTAACAAAAATAGATACTTACTAGCTGCGTGAAATGAACAAGTTCAGCTTGCAGACTTTCTGCTAGAAGAGCACTGTTTTGGAAATGGACATTATCTGAATGGAAACGAAAAACATTAGCAAAATTAATTAGGGATGAGTTTCCAAGATAGAACTCACCGTCGGCTTCTCCATGGGCAAGCATGTACTTCACATTTTTGAGGAGACCAGCTTTATTGAGTAACTGACTAGCCTAAAGGAAACAAGTCACCGAGATCACCCTAGTTAGAGTGTTGAGCTTTTTCAAGAACTTTTTACATTTGTAGGTCTATTGGAGGATACACTGATGATGCAATTTCTAACTCGAATAAGAAAGGAGGACTGTGGCTAATTCTTGAAAAAATCGTCGAGAGATAAGTAGGTTCAAATTAATTTTCGTGAGGTCGGTCGGCATTTGTGGAAGCCAGTGATAGGAGGACTTGAAAAACCACTATATTTTCCAAATTTACTTTCGTTGATGTGTTCATTGAATCGCCGCGACGAAAGTCGCAATCGAACAGTGGCACCAAATCCACAAAAATTGAGTTTTTTAATCTTTTCTAGTTATATTTGAAAGCAACAACGGACAGGGAATGATAGAACATCGATAAATGATTCAAAAAAATCTTTCTGAGCTAGAATTATGGGGTTGCAACGATTTCGTTGCAATTTTCCATAGCGTCGATCCAATGAAAATTCTTTCAATGGAAGTGATTTCGGAAAATTCAATAGTTTCCAGCATCCTTGTATCAATAATTTTTCAAAAATTACAGTCCGATCTCGTAAAAATCATTTTGGACCATGTTACGGAGTTTCGACGATTTTCAAAATCAATACTCTGCCGCCTTTTTTACCCGGATTAGGGCTGTATTGTGCACCATAGTGTATGTGGCAAACTTACATCATATCCTGAGGGATTTTCCAAAGGTATGCCGAGATATCGTTCAGTATATGCACTATCTGAAAGAATATTGTAATTTGTTTTTGCTATCTTACCCTTCCAACCCACCGTAAAGCATGAAATCAACAACTGGTGCTACCGCAACGGAACATTTGAGCGTTTTTCCTTGATCGCGGATGGCAATATGAGTGCTCAGAAAACCCCCGTAAGACTAAAATCTTTTATACAGTTGAAAACATCCCTGAGACCACACTAGTAACGATTCATACCCATCCAAAAACGGCAACTTTTTCTTTGTCGAAGAAAGCATACTTCGAAATGAGGTATCTGCAAATTTTCTGCACTCTTAAAACGAAAATGATTTGGAATTCAGAATAACCAACTTTATTGCTTCTATGGTGTCAATGGTTTCGAATTGGCCAAGTGCTTTGTACACAGGTGCTTTTAAATTCCAGCCTGAAAGTGACAGTTATTTGTGATTTATTACACAAATAAGCTCAAACAGTTTAATAGAGAAAGTGCAACAAAAACCTCGATTTGATGATCCGCGGCCATCGATCCATACCACTATTGCGCCTAGATTTGAACAAAAATGTATCATATTTGGAGTCGGAGTTGATCGACGAACTTTACAGCTGTTTGGACCACCATACCTGAGAAGGGATTCTTAACGATTTTGGGATGATTTACTATGTCGAGTTTTTTTTTTTGAAAGGGAAAAACGCTTGAAACAAACTGTTCATATTTCAAACAATGAGACTAAGTGGTAAGCCATTTATCACTTACACATCAACAAGCATTGGATAAGTCAAATTTGGATCGAACATTGGAGGTTTCATCATACCGACGTGTACCTCTGCAATAAAGAAGTTTCTTTCGGCAACGGTACGTTTTGTAACACTTACCGTAACCTGAAGACAAATTAACGGCTTCATAAGTTATTTCTGGCAGATCAAAAGGTATGTATGCCTTTTCAGCTCCTTCCAAAAGCTTATCTAAAGAGGAAATTAGATGTGTGGCAATAAGGGCACCGTCCACCCAAATCAAGGGTGATGAGATTTTGATAAGGTACAATAGGGAGCTCTCCCTAACTAAGTAATTGCCTAAATCCAGCTGCAAAAAATGGATTCCGAAGCGAGAAATTCGCTACAAAAGGTAGAAGCTGCCAGGGTGGCTCTGCCCTTCAAAGTGGATGGTCTGAAGGCATCAAGTCCAGATTTAATGTATCCAAAACTGTTCACGAATCCGCTTCATCGAGATCACCCTTGAAACCCAAGTAAGAACTTATTATTTTCAGACCACTCACGTTGATGGGCGGGGCCACCTTGACCGTTTCTACTTTCTAAAACAATTCGGTTTTGAATTCATCTTTTGCAGCGATCATTTAGGGAGCTTGGGAGCTCCGCCATTACACAGCATCAAAAGCTTAATGTCCTCAATTTCTGTGCACGGTACCAATAATGCAAAACCACTTACTATTACTTGGCTTCTCCACGTCCATGAGGTACATCCTAGTATTTTGAAATGGTTGAACACAGTTTACTACAGCCCGTTTTCCATCTGGAGACACTTCATGGGTACCGTAATCACAATCAGGAACGAATGCCGACAGCGATGTTACGTTGGACTAAAAGCAGTAACTTTTTCCCCGCATAACCTCAAATTTTTTACACTACCCACACCTGATTGGCTGCACTGGCTTGAGTGACTTTATATAGCCTCATCGTTCCAAGACCTCCACCAGCCGAGCTGAACGTGAGTGTATCTGAGGTGACGTCGTAGCCTTCTATCTCTCGAATGTCGTAAGCACCACCATGCCAAGCAGTTATTCTACCGCTCCCATTTCTCTAAGACATAAAGTTTTTGAAAAGATGGTCCAAAAAATTGGATGGCTGGGTTTCTTATGTGGAAACTGATCGGGTTACTTCGAGAGAGCCAGTGCTCAAGTGGCAGCTCATACGATACATTCGTAACACGGCTATCCAACTCTAAACTCTCATCCGGACCGTATTCCTTACCGTAGGAAGCACATTATCCCTTTAGCATGACTACGGTGTGGGTTAGAGTTTACAGTTGCATTTCTCGGCTGCAATTAAACTATATGAGTTGCACCTTGTACAGCTCATATAAAGATCTCCCAATGAGTATCCACATAAAAACTCCAATTTCGTTTTATCTGACTTTGAGGCAAGAATCTGGCTGACCTGTATTTGTAAATGAGCCACATGGTTGTAGACATTGCCGTCTCTGTAGGAGCGAGGAAGAATGATGAAGAATCCGAATCTTGACGTGAAAACATTCTTGAAATCTGCCGGTTCCGCCCACATACTGCGGCCATTGATGGTAAATGATTGCGTGTGAGTCTAAATAGTTTTTGGTAAATATTGAAGAAATTCCAGCCTAATGTTCATTACCAGCACGCAATCGATTTCATTGCAAAGGGTAATGTAGACTAGATTTTGTTCGCGATTAGCCCACACGGTCATCAGCCGCTCATCTCCAAGATTCCGCCTCACGCTAGATGGCATTGTAACCCAAGCATTGGAAAAAATATAGTAGGATCTGAAACGACTTCAGAATTGGTGACGTACAGTATCCCTACAATAATGCCCGCTCACTGATTGGTCATGATCAAATCAGCCGGAGGTTCGGCAATGACTGTTCGATTAGTGCGTAGTGTTAGAAAATACAGGCGAACCAAAGGGTTTTCTTCCACTCCTGCCTTGGGGTACGGTATCTCCACATATCTTAAATTGCAATGTAAGCGAACTCACTCATAGTTTACCATATTGACCTAAGCCTTACTGTGGATACTGTGAACCTCGGTTGTATCTGGGGATGTAGATCCGGCTTACCGAGCGATCATCGAACCTGAAATTTGAGACCTTTACCTTAGCTGTACCCAAATAAAGGTTTATTTACCTCAAGTAGGCTAAGTACTTTCCTGAGTTCGACCACCACATTGCGGTTCCAGATGAAAGAATTTCTTCTGCAAAAATAAAGTTTCGGATTGCTTTTCTCCTTTGATTTAGTGCTTACCTTCGTAAAGCCAATCTGGTACTCCATAACGTAACAAATAACTGCCATCAAATGTCAGCTGCCGAGCACTTCCTGGTTCTTCCGGATTACTTTGGTAGTAGATGTTATAATTATGCACAAATACCTGAAACCAGTAAAAGGATTGAAGTGGGTTGTGATTATGTAATGAAACTTACAAAATCATTTCTGTCCGGATTTGGATTCCACAAGAAGGCAAGAATCGGTTCATATCCCTCTCCAACGGGGCCCACCGGAAACATTTGCCTGTAATCTAGGTTTCATCAGCAGTGAGAGAGTAAAGCTGATATGGTTTGAAATTTCTTTGACAGGTACTCACTGGGAAGGGGTCCCATTTGTCATTCGACTTATCTCGTAAAGCTCCTCGTTTGAATGGCGAAAGATCTTCATAAGTAGAATTAATTAATCTTTGTCTTTGGCAGCCGCTAGGATTTCTTACCTGCTTGATATTTTTTGATATAAATGCATATTTATTATTAGAGGACAATGAATGCATTAGAGAAGCATCCGATAAATAATCTACAGCTGCGAAAGTTCCAGGCTTGATAACAGTCGCTATCGTGTCACCCTAAATAAAATTAAAAATCAGGTGTTTACTTGAAGGACTTGTGTGCTACAGATGATACTCCTAAAAAATCAGATATTTATACAAACCCCAAGAAATTCGTCCTTTGTTTGGATAAGACCGCTATCGCGTGTCCATCCAACAGTGTAGGAGTCTTTGAGGAAAACCTTTCCAGAAAAGAGATCATCAAAAGTGAATTTCCGATAATTCGGACGTCGTCTGAAGTGCAGTCGGTCGGATGTCCTATTATCGTAGCCATCCAAAGGTGGCCGCGTTGTTGATTCATTGAGTTTCACTGCTGGAAATACTCTTACTTGTAAAATTACGCTAAGTTAAGCGAATCTCAATGTTCTTTTGATTACATTTTAGCAACTCACGTTCTTGAGTAAATAACAATGTTATAGAGACCACTATGAGAATGACCGTCACAATAGCGAATGCAGCAATCAGGATTCGGACGAGTTTACGCGAACGATGGCGGTCGCTCGTAGTGTTCTGCAACAATTCAATTGCCTAGTTTTGACGGGAATGCTGACAAGTATAGCTTGCAGTATCATTTATTGAGAATTTCTTCCATCAATTATATTTAGGTATTCTTTATTTTATTAGGCTGGAGAAAAGTTCTTTCGCACCATTTTCAAAAATTCATAACTTCTGATTTTCTCAACCAAATTGCTTGCAATTATTTTTGTTCAAAAGAGTAAATCTTTTTTTTTCACATGCTATTTTGGCTGCTCTCTAACGAGCATATATTGCATAGAGAGAAGCGCTATAAGAAAATTACTCAAATTTTGATTTTCCTGGGCTTGGTCGTAAAAAATCTAAAACTTGCAGTGAAATTCGGAGAAGTCGATATCATAGGTTTTATTGCCTGCCTTTTCAACTAGGCAAAGTTAGTACTGATTTCACGTCTCTATGAAAAGTTATGATTTTCAAGCAGTCAATATAGAAAAGCAAATTTGATTTTTTGGCTTTTTGTGAATCATACTTCTTATAAACTTCAAACAGCACAAATCTGCTTAGCTATAATAGAAAGAGCAGGTAATAGCACCTATTATACCGACTCCCCTTTTTATTGCAAGTTTCAAATTTTTTACGACTAAACTCGGATAATTCAAAATTTGTGTGAATTTATTCTATTGCTGTTATCATGCGATACGCACAAATTTGGAAGCGCTCCACACATTTTTATGAATAGCATGATCTCTTTCTTAAATCAAGAGAGAATTTTTGAAAATATTACGACAGAACTCTAGCTCCATCCTAAGACTTTTTAATATACTTTTTTTACTTAGAATTCGTCGAAATAACGAAACTTACAGTTTTATCCATATCGCTGATTCCGGGTGCACATTGTCTAGGAAGCTCCCAACGGCAGTGGCACAGAGATCGACTCAAATTTATTGAGCTAAGGCTCCAGCGCAATAACTCTTGAAACTGAAATAGATCACTAAGACTAGGCAAAAGTGACAAGAAGTGCATCGATGTGACAAGTTCAATGACAAGGACTTCTTTCGTGACTCTAACCGATGCAAAATGATGAGGACAATATGCGCTGAGGCAGACGGCTCAAAAGTCCATCAGTCACTGCAACTCTTTTCCAATGAAAAACTGGGAACAAGCTGACAAAGCAAAAAGTTGAGTGAAAATCGGAGGTTGGCTACGTTACGCTATCGAATTTCGTGGAAAATCAGAGGAGGTACTTGGCACTTAAAAATGATGCGCAACAATGGGAAACAATTTTTGAGGAATGCGAGAACAACTTGTTCGATGATTCAAGAGTTCTCAAATTCCAGCCAATGAGTATACAATAAAATGGCAAATGCTGATAAATGCTTCAAGCTATCGATAGCCGAGAGCAGAAGTCCATCGAGTCCAAATACGTGAACGAATGTCTGTTGATCCCGTTGTAATCCCCTCCGCATGATCAGAGTGAGACTGAGCGGGCACACGTTCGGGATGCGATCGCTTTTCTCACTGCCCCATTCGCAGCTAGTGAGAATAGATTTTGACTAGAATATTCGGTACTTGAAAAAAGGTTGTGCGAGTAAATTTACCATGTACAAACCAGTTATCACATAGGAATAAATTTTCGCGCTCGACTAGTTTTCATATGCATCATAGGGCCGATTTTGTTGTTACCAAGGTCATAAACTAGTCCAAATATTTGCATGATTTGTGGGCAAGGATGGTCAGGATTCAAAGTATTGAGCAGATTATCCACTTGAGCCTCGGCAAATATTAAAGTCAAATGTTTTGGTCACTTTCTAGTTCCTAGCGATTTTCGCAAATTATAAGTTGTTTCAAGCCCCTTTATCGTGCATATAGGACATCAGGAACTGTACACTGTGAAAAGCATTGTACCTGACAGTGTCTAGCAAGATTTCACCCCTAAACATAGTATAAGCAAATTTGGATCCTCTCATGGTCCCAAACGTTTGTTTGTCTTCGAAAAAATCGCTGATGGAGCCAATAACTAGCGTGAATTACTCCTAATACAGCCAGTGTGTGGTGTGTGGTATGATTCTGGCGAGATAGGGTAAGTGAGAATTTTTGTGCAAATGATCAAAATAACACATTCTTGCAGCGAAATTTTGAAATTCCTTTCCTTCTAGAACCTAGATAAATTTTCTAATTTGAAGCATGGTGGAGAAGAAAAATCTTGTGCTTTCCAAATTTTCTTGAAACAAAATTCTTTGGTCATATATGGCAACGACTTAAGCTGATTAAGAGAAATACACAGAAATTAAATTTCGAAATTTGGCACTATAATTGCTAGAACTACTACTAGAATGCTAGTCTTCTGAAACTTGGATTCTTTTTAGTCTTAGTTTTATGACTTAATGTTTTTGTCGGATGTCTCCACGAACAGTTATGAATTTCGACTACTTTAATTCGGTCATTGAATTCGTTTCCAATCTATTCTATAAAATGTACTATTAAATGCTCCATTCGATCTAGATAACAGCATATTGTGTGAATTTTTTAGTTTGTTAGAACATTTTTCTAACAAATTTTTATATTTTTTAGTGCTGAGTGTGCTTTAATCTAATATAAAGAGATATATAGTTAAGATTTATTGTAAATACTCAAGCATAAGTGAAGGAGTTGGCGGCTTTACAGCTATAGAGAAAGATAGAACAGCTGATGTGAGGCCAAGAGTTTGTAAACCTTTATTAATTGGCTCAAACCGTAAAGAATGAACAATGGTAATAAAACAAATGGTACTGAAGATTATTTATACACAATTTATGTCCTCCAGATGAACTGCCAGAACAGCTTAACAGATGTTAGTTCTACCGAGCACGGGATATGAGAATTGTCTTGGAATGCTACTTGTACTTTAGTTAGGTTTCCCGCTTATGATTACAAACCATTAAAAGGGATATTTCTGAACAAGGACTCAAAAGTACAAGTACACTCATTTACAATTCAGACAAGAATAGCGCAGAGGAGTTTTTCTACACAAAATGATTGGGACTTTACAAGGCGGAAGCGTAACGTTGTCCGAAACTACAGACAGCAGTCCTTAATAATTCATAAACATTGAACACAGTGTTTTCTTATCCGTTCTCGGGATAACAACGCTCTGTTTATTCAAGAGCAGCTCTTGACAAAAAACAGCCTTAGTTTGTTATCCGTATACGCCATCAAAACTTTTTACGAAAAGGTTTTGTGTTATTGGAATGTTTTGGTGACGCCTCAGTTCATATACTTCATGCTATTTCCTTGCCTGTGCAAGGGTCAAGGTGATAAAGGAAGGTTGTTGAAATAGTGTAAGCTAGAGCTTAAAGAGGAGCAAATTAGAGTGAATATATTCCAGTAAATGAAGAAAGTTGTTGCTAAACTTGTAAGAGACATTCAGTAACAATTGGAAAGTAATTGTGTTCATGACTGTAGAAATTTTTGAGAGAACAATGCGTAAGCATCGTGACCCTCTTGAGTAACGTAAGAAGTGGACGCACACGCCAAAAATTGGTGGTTCAAGGCCAATGTTAGAAGAAACAAAAGGGCATCGAGAAGATTGAGTAATAGAATAATAATCTTGTATTTTAGAACTTCTGCTATGATTGGATAAGAGGGGGACGCGGCTCTGAAAACGTCTGTTATTAGATTTGTATAGTCGTATCAAAAATTTAGAAGTCTTAAACATTTATACTATCGAAGATCTGTCCAATTAAACTTAAAAAGAGAAGGTCACGCAGTATCGAATAGTGCTTCAGGCTATAATCTGTGTAATCCTACCACGGTGATACGTCGATTAGGAAAAACACTCAAATTGTGATTTTATTTTTATTTTATTTTTGGTCTTTAGATGCCTAAGAAATGTTAAAAATCTCACTATCTCACTTGCCTTTTGATTGTGGTTCCACATACTACCCATTTTTGTATGAAAAAAATTTTTGGTGTGCCTGCTTCCTTTGTAAGTTATGATTTTCGACGCTTTTAAAACGACATTTCGATTTTGTTCCGAATTTTGATATGCATAGTAAAAAAAAGTAGAAGGTAGGTTGGGTAGGTAGGGTAAGTAGGTAAAAGTACTCCTTGTAGGTTACAAAGAATATAAAATATGATCTAAGCGATGTTTCAAATGTGTTTTCGGCACATTTTTAGCAGTTTTTTCAAGAGTTATGAACCAACCTAATATCTATCTACTGTACAAGCAAACTTGCCCTTATTGCAAAATTTTTGTGATCAGCGTTCTTTCCCCAGAGTTCCGGAGAAAATGCGATCTCTAGACTTTAGCTCATAAAACTTTGGTCTATAGAATACAATGCAAAGAAAATTGGACCGTTAATTGCAGCTAACGATTATGCACTTGAGCAACAGAGACGTTGCTCGAGATACAGCGTTTCAGTGACGAACAGCTTTTTCTAGAAAACAGGGACCAGGTGGCATGAGATGGTGATTGATGTATGCGGCCGTGAACAAACGTTTGTGAAAACATAGCAACTGTGGCTAATATTTCAACATCAGTTACCCTGAAGGCATTCTAAACTACAAACTAGTTGCTCTTTACCGCGGAAAACTTCATGATGGGCTTTTTTTTCAAACTTGTCCTTTGAGTGCATGTCATTTTTTTTCAACTTTGACCGATGGCAATCACATTTCCCGTAGCTACGCCAGCAAATTTATGCGTGATGACAAAAAGCTGCCTCTTGACCTCGCACTGCGAGATAAACAAAGAATCACATTAGAGTTGAGGGATATGAGTTTTCATTGCAGCGCTTGCAGCTAATCACTAGGTCAGTGGAAAGATTTTGTTCTTTTGTCTTCAGAGGATTTGTAGTTCATCTCTTTCTTAAATAATCTAATCTACAGACATTTCATCTGGTAGCGCTTGAAAATAAAATGTGAACCACATTGGATCAAACTATATATAACAAACACTCAAGCTCATCGACAAGTGGGTTGCATTAGAAGAAAGGCGAACTCAAGCCTGCGCGGTCAATAGTAATAGTTTCTGATTTAACATTCAAAATCTATGCAAAGTCGAAAGTCTCTAAAAAGATTCAGGTTTTTCGACTATGACAAAATGAGTCTTTCTGTGTTATCACAATTCTAAAAAATCACTGAAAATTTTTAAACATCACACGGACTAATTTTCCACAATGAAAGATTGTCACTGAAACTAGTACTACTGATTGGTGCCATATTTCATGATGGTGACTATTTTGTAATTTTAGATTACACACTATATTATTTATGAATTTGTTCAATAGATTTCTTTGAGATTTTGCGCCTAACATTTGCCGACAACAGGTAAAGCAAAAATGTTCACAAGAAAGTTGCGAATTTTTTCACATAGGTGTAGAGGTTTCAAAAGCAACTACATTCTAAGTGAATATGAGCAAGCTGCACGCTTATCGATAAATGGTAACCACAGAATGAATTGTGAACAATAGCTTGAAAATGAAGGCTCTACGATCAGTAGAAGCTTGACAAAGTTTACTCTGGCAAATGGCGCCAAAATGAAAATTTTTGAACATGAGCATGAGCTCTGTCTGATTCACTTTCGATAATATTTTGAAAGTTGAGGGCGAAGAAACGTGCAGCAGAAAAATTGTAATAAATCTCTACGAACTGCTCATTCATGGGAGGCCGCAGTTAACCGATTATACGGAAATTAACATGGATTAATATGAACTCGTGATGTCAATATACGTTAAACGGCAAAGTTCGGCAACGCTGAAACGATAACATCTGGCCGAAGCGAAAATTATGCCGCATGCTCTTCAATTTGCGCCATGGAATGACACGCACAAAAGACTGCTGGAATTATGGCTTGAAAAAGGTCAGAGGTACGATCATCCTCATTGTAGTAGAGTTTTGTGTAATTGCACTACTTTATTGAACTTGCAGCAGAGCAACATGGCTGGAGGAGCAGCACAAGGCAAAAAATGCAAAAACTTGAAAAAATGAAGGGAAGAGTTCATACATTT